AAGGATACTGACATATTCAAAGAAAAAACAAATAACATGTACCGCAAAGGATTAAATATATTCTAAACATATTATCCATATTACCTGGAAGAGGGCCAAAGCCCTCAGTGAATCTTCTGACTCAGAATCAGAACAAGAGGAGGCATTGAGTGAGTCCGATGAGGACTCTTATGATTCCGGCGCATATTTGCCTGACCACGGCCCTTTGTCACGGCCTGGCGCTGATGCCAAGACCAGGGTGGATGATTCCACCCTTCTGGATCCTCAAGGCGAACCACTCTTTGATTTGGACGGCTTAAAGCATCCACGTTCTTTAGAGTGGTACCCTTTGGTACACGTGGTTAAATACATTGCCGCACGTATAATGAAACCATTTAACAAGGAGGCACAGAATAAACTCAAGGTGGAATGCCCACGTCCCACTATCCCTGATATGGCCTGTACCTGGATCCCAAAAGAGCCCAATTTCTTGGTAAAACAGGATGGAAAGCCAAACAAGGCCTGGATTTCTCCCTGTGTAATTGCCACGATAAAATCCTGGATGCTCTGGGACCATGTGCCTTGGCAGGGGGTGTCCTCGCTGACTTAATGGCCATCAGGGATTGGATACAAAGATCCGTGTGCTTACTGGGTAACGCCAATACTGCATTGGCCACAGAGAGACGTGAGTCCATTTTGATGAAAATAGAACCAAAGTTAGTAAACCTTGCGATCTCAGAGCCTGGAGCGCAGGCTAAATGTCTTTTATTTGGGGGCAACTTTCTGCCTCCATGTGCGGCATGCTCACTTGTCACTTTACTCAAATATTGATGGGAGACTCGCAAGATATAAGGATGAAGGACATGACGGGCAGGTAAGTATTCTGGAAAAAAGTGTCTTGACAAAGGAAGTGGAACCTGCCTTAAGCTCCACCCTTTGTCATGTTTTGTCAAGAGGAGGAAAATAAACGAAGAAAAGTAGTCCCTACTTTTGTTTATGTAGTTTAAGAAAAATAAAAGAGAAAAGAAGAATGGATTAAGAGAAGGGAAGAATCAATTGAGGAAATGTAAGTTTGAGGTGATAGTGTTGCTTTAACACAGAGGCAAAATCTTTCAGCCTTTCCTGGCTGGAGGAAAGACAATTGCAGCCTCATCTGCAATTTATATATTACACAACATTTGATTGTACATTATCCAAAATCTTTTCATCTGTTTCATATATTTTTTTAAAATTGTTTCTTGCTGAATTATGCAATACACAAGTTAACATCTATTTGTTGTTGGCTCATGCTTCTTGGTCTGTCTTAGTAATAATTCAATTGTGTTTCAAATGTAGAAAATATATGAAGAAAACAAATTTTAAAAATGGAAATAAACATGCATGACTTAAAGAAACACTTCCAGAGCACCATAACCACTAAAGCATACTGACTGAAAAGCACTCCTGGCACCATAACTACTACAGACAGCTGTCTTGTTTATGTTGCTTGGATTGGTTTTTTTTTTTAGTATATTTACACTTAATAAACACTCTTTCGTTTATTTGCTGTTAGTTGTGGCGATAGTTATGCTAACTTTTATAGGAGTGTAAGTTGGAGGTATACCTAATATGGAATATTCATGTAGTAGGTGAGCGGAGAAATTTGGATTGCAACACTATAAAATGTGTAAAACGCCATGGGGGTTGAATAGTGCTGTACCTCACCAGCCGTTTTGAATGTTGTCATATTTGCCTATATTGATGGGAAATTATAATTCTCATAAGAAAATGGTTACATATCTGGGAGTCTTGACAGCAAAACCACCCCAGACACAGTTTGTAAGCTATGGTTGTTTTCCTGGAATATTATATTTATATTTAGTATTAAACTTTAAAGTTTAATATTCTAATTAAAATCTGAGAAATAAAATAGATTTGTACTATATAATAAAATGTAGATGTTCATTTAGTGCTAGAGAAACATGGGCATGCAAGCATGACCTGTTTAAGCTGTAAACTCGTGAAGAAATTCCTCTGAAGTTATCTGGCCACCTTAACAGATCAGAGAAGAGAATTCATATGCGTGATGTGAATGAATGTTTTTCTTTTCTGGATTCCAATCATATTTTACTGAGGTGACCTATGCAAATAAAAGGAACATGAGTAATACCCTTGTAATTTTAGTCAAATGTTCCTTTTCTGGCTGAGTATTTTACAGACGTTTAACTTTGTGAGCCATACAGATATGGAAAACATGCAACGCTTTGGGGCAAATTAAAGGATCACTATAGGGTCAGGAACACAAACATGTATTCGTGACCCTATAGTGTTAAAACCCCCATCTAGCCCACCTGGGCCCCTCATGCCTCCATAAATATAGCAAACTCTTACTGTATTCAAGCCTGAAGCTGTAACTCTGCATGCTGTTTGTCTCAGAAAAACAAGCAGTCTGCTCACATCATCAGAAGTGGTAGCCTGAGCCAATCACAATGCTTCCCCATAGGATTGGCTGAGACTGACAAGGAGGCAGATCAGGGGCAGAGCCAGCATGATTCAAACACAACCCTGGCCAATCAGCATCTCCTCATAGAGATGAATTGAATCAATGAATCTCTATGAGGAAAGTTCAGTGTCTGCATGCAGTGGGAGGAGACAGTGAATGTTTGGATATCTGAGGCGTGGCCAGTGAAGTTATCACTAGGCTGTAATGTAAACACTGCATTTTCTCTGAAAAGACAGTGTTTACAGCAAAAAGCCTGAAGGTAATGAATCTTCTCACCAGAACAAATTCAGTAATCTGTAGTTGTTCTGGTGACTATAGTGTCCCTTTAATGACAAATCCATGCCTTTATTTATATCTGATGAGTTGCAGGATTTATTCTTAACAAGGTTGATTTAGCCTTTCATGTTTGTAGTGTTGATAAAATAAGTACCAGTAAGTCTTCCTGAAGTATATGCACTTTGGTTTTAAGAACGATGCTTGGAATCAGTAATGGTGCAAATTGCCGATAACGTAGCCTTGAACAGTCTTGTAACAGGTCAAATTTAAAGGTCCACTAAAGGAACCCAGATCATCTCAATGAAGTGGTTTGGGTGCAATAGCCCTTTATCCATTGCAAAGTTAAACACACCTTTAATGCTGAAAGCAACTAGAGGTGCTTCCCCTGTAAGTCAGACTCAGTTTTCAATCAAATGCTGTTTGATTTGCCACAAATGCCTACGGGAAAGCAATGGATTGGCTGAGGTCATCAATCTTGATGTTCTCAGCCAGGGGCGGAAGAGCGACCATGGCAAATCCAGTGCAGTGAGGGAGTAAAGACAAGTAAAGCTCACCTTTTAAACCCTCAGAAGGGGAAACACACACACACCAAAATAGGTAGGGTAAGACTATAGCATTAGGAATACATGCTTGTACTAGAGTATAGCTTTAGTATTCCTTTAACTCGATTTAAAGTCAACATTATGCACATATACATCTAAAATGATTCTTAAAATATTTCACAAGTAGATGTCATTTAGTCTCATGAAGAGAAACTATCGAAATCCTTGTCTATACGAAAAAAGAACTCCTTTATTAAATGTGTGTTGTCAGACATAGCATGTGTGTCCCTTGACTCCTCAGGCATTCTTTGGGATACTGTCGGTTTATTTGTGCACAGAATGTTTGTTGAAATTTTAACTCCATAATTTATACACATAATCAGCTGTAAGACAGAGCTGCATGCCCCACATCTTTATTTGCGATTATTACCGTTTAGTTGAATACCACTAAAAATATTGGATCAAGCATTAGCTTTATACATGTAATTAGCCGATGTTAATGGTTTATTGTATGTTAAAGTAGAGTGCATTCAATAAGATGTCTATTAAAGAAGAAAATAACAGATTTACTTTACAACCTTTTATTGTCATAGGGATCGCATTCTGTATTTACCCATATTACACGCTTCACATGCTTTTATGTATATGTTTAGATAATGTTACTGTATTCACGTTGAAGTTATGGTTAGTTATGGTTAGCTGTTAGTCTTATGATAGTGTGTAGGGGCTAAGTGTTAGTGTTGGGTTAGTGTAGGGTTCAATGGCTACTGTAATTAAAGTGCAGTGTAAGGGTTAAAGGGAGGACATTTATGCTAGGGCAGCACCAATACATGTCCCAGTACTGCACAAGATTAGAGTTCCAGTCCCTGGCAGCATCTATTTAACCTGCTGCCATCAAAAAGATAGTGTCTCTCCTAATTGCGTGGTGCAGTGTGGGTGAGTTTTTGTTTTATTTACCTTCACTTATAATTCATCCCAGTGAACGCTCCAATAACATTTTACTGGGCTGAAGGAACAAGGAACTGTCGCTTCTCATCACTTCACGTGACAGTTCTTTTTTAACTGCAAACTCAGTTCAGTGACCCATTCTTAAATATATGACAAAAACAATTCAAACAAAATCTGGCACATCCCTGTGTCAAAATAAAAGAATCTGCATTGCCCAGCAGGCTGCATACTACGACCATAACAGATATAATAATATCTACTTGTAGTCTAATGTATATTATGTATCTATCCAATTAGTGGGGACACACTAACAGCATTGGGATCTAACTTTAAGTACTGACCCAGTTTACTAGAACCTCTGCTCTAATAGAGCCAGAACTTTAACAATCTCTCTGATTTTACTGGAGTACCATAGAGGTTAGTCCATAAACTTGGAATTGTTTAGAATTGTTAAGGGAATTACAATATCTAATGGTACTGAAAAAAAACCAACTCCTGCAGCTGTTATTTACCAGCTTATTGACCTAAAACCTGCCAACTCCCAGTCAATTCTCCACACCATTTATTGAATAGCCCATGCATGCTGGCAGCCCATTCACAGGATAGTGAGGGAGTGAGAGGTTAAACCACACTGACTGTTCCCTTTACATGTAAATACAGGGCAGCTGTCTCTCTCCGGCTCAGTCTGGCTGTGGGACGCTTCCCATTGGCCGTCAATGACATCAGCTGGGTTTAGAGTTGACCCCGCCCCCTCCAGTGTAGAGGAGAAATGTCAATCATCGGAGTCTCCACCCATTTCGAATCTTTCCCTTTAGTGAAAGTGAGAGAGTGGAATCCTGAGATAGGTCAATGGAACCAAGTGAATGGAGCATTAATATATAAATCAATACCAGGGGAGATACAGCACAGTAAGTGTCTGCATGTGGGATGCTGTCCTGCCCATTAGAGGGATGCACGCACCTGATGATTAGCCCTGCTTGTCATGCTGCTGCTATGTCACTTAAGTTTGTTATACTGCATGTTATTAGTGTCAGATTTTTACAGTTTCACTGGTCCTGTGGGTATGCAGCTAAAATTTGAACACCATGCTGTTATGTTGTAGGAGAGAGATTGCTGCAGTGGGGTGAGGTGAGTACCATACTTTGATCACAACAAAGATAGGCTATATTCACCATCCAAAGGTTAGGGCACACAACTCCCTTTACTGACAGGCAGCTAATAGTGATGGGAGTTGTGGTTCAGAAGGAGATAGCCCTACCATGGATATTCAGCACTCTTATAGCCTTTTTCTTTGTACCTTCTAGCCAACAAGTAGATATGGAGATTTGATTAACTGCATTGAATGAGTATTTATTTATTTTTAATTTTTTTTTTTTTTAAATATTTGGTTTACTGTAAACAACGATCTATAGCAAATGCATAGTGTTATGATGGATGGAGAGGGAATGCTGCAGAGATGCAGATGTTAGTAGATTCACTTTGGCAGAATCAATAGGAACTTACCTGAGACGTTGAAATGACAGAAAACACATGGTCATCTCCATGCAAAAAAAAAAAAAAGAGATTTTTCAGAGTTTGCATGTACAGTAAGTCATGAAATATGATCATATAGCTAAAATGTAATGGTCACAAGAAGGCATAAAGTCATGTAATTTTACAAACCTGACATGATCTTCCCTTTGGCAATAAACTGTTAAGTAGCTTGTGGAGCTGTGAATGATGCTGTCTAGTGACCTCTGAATAGGGGATGACTGATCATCAGTTATGTATATGTGTCACATCATAATTACATGTAGCCATTTCTTAGATCTTACAATAGTCTTTGTAGTGTAGGTATTTAGTTTTTTTATACTATGAATGTTAAATATAGATATGGTTTGGGTCCTGATCACATCTTTTGGAAATATTTGCTGTTTTGTATAGGAAGCTCTGTATATTAAACAAATTGTTCTATGATCTAATAAATAGATATTGCAGTTCAATAAAACAATGGTGCATATCTGCATTACCCAGTTCTGAGCACCCTCCTGGTCATGGCTATTTGGGAATTTGTTAATGTGGGTTTATTCTGCATGGACTGATGAAGGTCTGTTAAGGCAAATTTTATTTCAGCCTGCATAGTTAAAATGCATGCCCCTCTCTATTTATAGCATCAGTAGATTCATGCCATAAAACAAGCCTTGCCTTTCCTTATCTCTGCACTTGGGCTGGTCACCCTGAATGTCAAAATACTTGTTTAATTATGTATCAATTTGTATCCCCTAATAAAAGATTTAACAGAAAGGAAAGTCACTATATCTGGTTTAAACCATTAGTTGCTGTGTAATGTGTTGGGAGCCCCCTGGCATAATAAATGTGTTTTGTTTTGTTTTTTTTCGTTATCAGAGTGGAACACAGCAGAGTCACACTGTCACTGATAGTTTAACAATTTAACAAATAGAATGTTGTACTTCACTATAATCCTTCAGATAGTGGGATACATTGGGGTACATTACCGAACTGTCTTGATAGTCATCTTTTTATTATTTTTAATATTATGAGTTTAAATGTGTTTGGGTTTAGTAGTTATCAGTTTTCAGCTAATTTATTTACTGCTTTTCTCCTGCACAGACTGTGACCAACGGTTCTACCTAAATTGGCAGTGCTGTCGTCTTCCTCATGCCTCCCTCTCCCCTAGACGGCAGGCTTATTGTGGCACACTCCAGGCCTGTGAGACCTCAAGAACTCAACCTTTGCCTAAAGTCTTCCTACCTTGAATCCTGCTCAATTAGCGAGAACTATAAATCTTTTTTAAGCACAAGTGTTGTGTCTTTAAACACAGCCAATCTGACGTATATGCCCTCTTCCAACGGCTCTGCACGTTCCCTGGGTTGTGGATGTAGCAGTGCCAGTTGTTGCACTGTGGGAGGTTATGAGAAAGACATTCAAACTCAGAGTCAGGCAATAAGTTGTTCTACCGTTTCTAGCAGTGCTGCAGGAACTTCATCCGCTGCTCATACAAACCAAATGGTCAACAACAATGAGAACAGTGGTGCTTTGAGTCCATCTGGAGGCGTGGGAAGTCCCGTGTCTGGTGCTACCAAACAATTCGCCAACATAAAAATAATTTACCCCAATGACTTGGCCAAGAAGTTAACAAAATGCAGCAAAACTCACTTACCAAGTCAAGGGCCTGTAATCATTGACTGCAGACCCTTTATGGAATACAATAGAAGCCATATTCAAGGAGCTGTACATATCAATTGTTCTGACAAGATCAGCAGGAGAAGACTTCAGCAGGGCAAGATAACGGTATTGGATTTAATATCCTGCAGAGAGTCTAAGGATTCGTTTAAAAGGATCTTTTCCAAAGAAATTATAGTTTATGATGATAATACCAATGAACCAAGTCGGGTAATACCTTCACAGCCTCTCCATACTGTTTTGGAGTCACTGAAAAGGGAAGGAAAGGAACCTCTGGTTTTAAAAGGTACATCTCATCTATATATTTTGATTAAGAACATCTTATTGACCGTTTGAGTGTCAGACTTTGTGCACCTCATTGACAACCCCTTATCAGTTCTTAAAAACCCTTATCAGTCATCCCCACTGGTTAATTGTTTTAGAGAATCTTAAAGGAACACTGTAGCGTCAGGAACACAAACATGTATTCCTGACCCTATAGTGTTTAACCCACCATTTCTCAGAAAATGCAGTGTTTACATGAAAAAAGCCTGAAGGGAACTATTATACTCACCAGAACAACTACATTAAGCTCTGTAGTTGTTCTGGTGACTATAGTGTCCCTTTAAATGTTGTTCCATTGGGAATGCTTATAAAACATGGACTATACAGGTTTCAGAATCCACCCAAAGTAAAAATAATACATATATAGTGTATGTTTATACCCTAAATGTAGACGCAACTCTGAGTTCTTCACAGTATTTTATTTACGCAGTTATCATTTCCCTTAATGTTAAATGTGCCTAGAACAAGATACATAATCCTACTGGTTTTAGAAGGGTTATATCCTCCTTCCTCTGCTTGAATGATTGATGATTGGCATTACTGCTCAGGGATTTAAATGTCATTGTTTTTTTTTCACCAAACAGTATTATAGTGAAGATTGCTGTCAGAGTACTAAATGGAAAGCACGATTTGTTTCCATTATATAGCATAAAGTCGGTGCTCTTTACAATTCTATTTATCTCTAGGGTTGTGTGTTTGTGATCTAAAAAAGATATTTTTAGTATTTAAAAATCTGACAATTTGCCCAAGGTCACAGAAGGTCATTTGCAGAATAACTCTTTGCATGCCTGTGGGATAAATAATGTATTTTATAATCTAGTTATATAATACTATATTTTAGTTTGATCTATAGTTATTACATTTCCGTGCAAAGTAGTTTGTTTTGCCAAGTTAGAATTCATGCATTGAATTGTTTTTTTTTTTTATCGTAAGAAAATAAAAAATAGTAACCGCTGCATGTAGTATTCATTTTTACATAAATGGCTCATTTTTGTTAGTTTGCCAACAAGTTCCCAGTGTTCCCATATTTGCAGTATCTGGGTTCAACATTTGAGCCCCATGTCCCTCCTAACAATATGCATACATGTGCAAACTCTTATTTTACACTGTAAATCAACACCAAATAAAATATAGCCCGTGAAGCCGCACTAACATTCCCCGTGGATCCGCTACTGAAAACTTGTGTTTTAACCGTGCTAATAAACACACTGCTTTGGCAGAGTTCTATTTTTTACATCTACAGCTTTGCAAAGGAACTGAAATGGCATACGCTTTCTCTGTCCAATAGCAAACTTCGTACGTCATTAAGAGGTGCTTTCTATTATGGGGGGAAGGATTTAACGTTATAAGCATACAGTATTACAATAAACTATAGTAGACTGTAATTCTCTATATATTACGGATGCTGGGCGTACCTACTTTTTAGGAAACTCTATTTACACTAATGCGATCAGATTGTTTTTAAAAACAATGTAAATTAAAATTTTCAGTAACCCAAAACAACATTCTATACACAAGTTAGATTTTTTTTTAAAATTTTAATATCTTACATTTATGCTCTAGTGATGTATGTCTACATACTAATACGTGCTATATATTGTTTTTAAATGAAACAATATATAGTGTATGCATTAAATCCAATGTGTAATTTGTACTGGCAAACCAGTACGAACAGATAAAGCATGCTCACTTACTCAGAATCATTTAAAAAGTAAGTTAATTCGCATGAAATGACCTTTCACAACTCAATTGTGATGTTAAACATGGAGTCGTAGCAAGAAAGCTTGATGACTCAAGTCATAGCTTCCTTATGTGCTTCACTCAAAAATTTTCTTTTTTTTTCAAACTGTATAAATATATGCTTTATTTTTAATAATCAGACCAAAAATGTATCAACTCCATGAGTGCCAAGGACCATGTTTTGTATTATTGAATTCGGTATTAAGACTTTATTACTTTACAGCACACCACATCAGGAAATAATTATAGCATTTATTCTGCATTAAATAATGCCTTTCCCACGCTTGATGTGCTGGGTGTGTGCAGTCAACACTTTTCTCATTTGTGTACACTCATATCTCACGCGCTTCTAATTGTTTGCACATTTACTGCCTTATTTCAGCGTTGTATTTGCTGTTTCAGTTTGGTTAGGTACAAAACCATATTTTTTCATTTAACTGACGCTTATCAATGAGTCATTTTATTGCTGGTGTGTTTATTTTTCTTGTGGTTCCCCAAACGAATAATTCTTGATAACACTTATATGACAACCAACAGATTAATATACAAGCTAGCTCCCAGATGGGAAATTCAAAATTGTGTGTTAGCAAAGTCTGGTTCCAATACCTTGGCTGTGCTTTGGTTAAATCCCAAACAAAAAACACGTAACATGGATTTATCATCAACAAAATGTATGGATGACAAGGTCAGCCTCAGATGGTAACAGCCTCAGTAACTGTGTAGCTTACAAAAAAAGAAAAAAGAAGCCCGAGTTTTTTGCAGACACTGGCAATAAAATTGAGTTAGTACTCTTTGGAGCATGAATGCATAGATAGATGGTTTCCTAGCCTCTTCTGCTCAATACTGGTCCTATCTTTTTATGGAACAACAAAGGTATATGCATGGGCAAGGGATGCAATAGGTCCATTATGCACATCCTAATGGCCCGGTTTGTCTTCCCCTTCCTCCGTTTGGATCCCTACCGTCACTTTGGCATCATTTTAGTCGCTCTTTATCTAGTAGAACCTAAAAAGCATGAACAATTGGCAATAGCAATATTTTGTGTATCATTTATTGCTTTGTTTTTTAAAAATGAAACATTAAATAGTAATTTAGAAAAAAAAACATTTATTTTGATTAATGCATTAAAATAAATGATAATTATGATTTAGTAATGAAGGAATGGTCACTTTCTGCACTAGGTGCACACAAAATAAGTGTTGCTATAGGAGGGTGGGGGTTCCACAGGTGTCATTTCTTTTCAGGAGAATATTGCTTGTTACAAAAAAAATAAGATAACTAGTATAGTGACTTGACAAGGGGAGGAGGTGGTGCCCGTCTGGTGACTATCAGCAGGGGGTGTTGGAAAATAGAACTCTGGGGCACCCCTTCTATTGGTTATGTAGTAGAGAAAATACTGCATTGAATGCCTGGCTCAGCAGAATGTGCTTATTTCTGACTGCACTTTTATTGATATTATGGTGAGCATCAGCAGCCGTTCCTCATAGGTAAAGAGGAGAGGACATTACATAGAGAGGCGGGATTTGTCATGACATATCTCTACCTCTCTGTTAGTGTAGTGGTGATTGAGTTTGCCTTTGGGCTCAAACCCTAGGTGTTTCTGGAACCTAGCAATGTTCCGCCCTATTGAAAAATGCAGAATATGTTTGTATTTCTATGGGACAGAGCCTTGCAGCTAAGACTCATTTTTTTAAGCTTTCTGTGGAGTACTTCTATTCCTCTATGTATGGTATGTAGATTATATATATTTTTTTCTGCCGTTTGCTTCGGTCGTTTTACTATAGTCCTCAAATATGACAGAGGTATGCCCCACAATGCCTAGAGTTTAGGTACACCATAGACTTGGTGGGATAGCCAAACACCATACACAGAGCACACCATCAGCAAAACCCATATTTGTAGTTTACATATAAATGATAATATACCTTCGTCAAGTTATTCTGAGTCTGGTTGGGGCAGATCCCTTGTTGGTCACACAATGTTATGGTTTGCACCAGCTTGAATTTCAGGTATTGAGTATGGAGTCTAGGCCCTTGACTGTCAGATTTCATTACTCTACAACTTTGTCAGATAGTTTGGGACTGTCCCAGTTTTTAGTCCCTGTGTTTCCATTATGGGTATCAAAAATCCCCATAAAGTGCAGTAAGTGTTTTATTAGATATGCTTAACAAACATAGGCATTGCTGCGCATATTCATCCCTGAAGGATGCTAGCTAGCAGGGCACACTCCTTTTCCCTAGAGCCCCCTCCAGTCATGACACTAGTGTCACTGGCATGTCCCTTACACATTGCCATCTTCCTATTCTGTTTTATTCCCTAGAAATAAAAAGACTTACTACCAAGTAAAAAGAAGTGAATATAACAAATGCACTCCAAATGAAGCCTTGTGTTTCTAAACTCCCTACGTAAATCTACTTCAGAATTATTTTTGTTGAATGCAAATAATTATATTTTGAATAAATAGCTTTCACAAATGTAAAGTGGAATTAATGAGTAGTTTTTACTGTGTTTCAGCTCCTGATACATATGGAGTAATCATTTAATAAACAGGGATAAGGCACTTTTAAAGAAACACTAGCGTTAGGAATAAAAACCTGTATTCCTAATGCTATAGTGTTCCTCTCCCAAACTTACTAGGTCCCCGTCACCCCCGACAATGAGAGTTTAAAACCCTTTTTTAAACTTACCTGCTTCCAGCGCTGAGGTTCCCTTGGCGCTGGCTAAGTCTCCTCCTCCAGTGTCACGGCGATGGTGAGACTTAATGCGCATGCACGGCACTCACTGCACGCACATTAAAGCTTCCCTCATAGGAAAGCATTGAATCAATGATTTCCTATGAAGAATTTGAAGAAATTGGATGTCCTAATGCAAATCCAATGTCATTTCACAAAGTAAAACTATGTTTGGCAGCAGGAAGTTTCTTTAGTGGCTTTCTGGAAGAGGCGGACTTAACCTTGCAATGTAAACATTGCAATTTCTCAGAATAGACCCTGAGATGTCTATAGTGCCCGATCAAATAGGATACATAGCTCACCAACCATTGTTGACCTAAAACTCTGATTATTACCAGCTAGCCATTTTCTCCAAAAAGCATGTTTATAGATGGTTAATATCACTTTATTGTTACCTACTCTTGCTCTGCACTACAAAGGTGTTAACTTCACCTTCTCAGCTTGTCCAACCTGTATTTATCCTCTGTCACAAGAACAAAAAGTAATGGAAATTTACAATCTATTTGTAATATAGTTCATTCAAACAAAGGCATATTTTAGATGGAAAGACTCAACAGCTTCAGATTTCCTTTGAATTGACCTTCGTTACAGGGAGATTTCAACTTTCATTACTCTAGTGTGTGTACACGCAATGGATTCTTTTTCATAAACTGTTTTTACAAATTACGACTGACCCAGCATAAACGTAAAGTTGAAATAGGTTTGACATTTGTCGTTGATATGCTTGGCACCAAATTACATTTTTTTGTTTTTATTGAACACTTTAAGTGTCTAACGCACAATACAAGATGCAAGTCGCATTTGAAGACCAATTCAAAACCAATCCCTGCAACATACCATATTTTTTTAAATCTTATTTATTAAAAGCATGTGTTAGATGAGACCTTTTGCCAAAAATGCATAAATCATATTTAGGGACATATTAATTAGGCTTTTCTGAATGACAACTTTAATAATAGGTCACCACCAGTTATGTATAACAACCAAGAAAATTAGTATGACTTTATGAACCTTTTGTGAGAGCCTAGATTTTAAACAAGTTCACCTAAATTTAATTATTTCTTGGGTATTATTATATTACTGATTATTTATTATTCAGATAGTGATTTGTTAATACATTTCCTAACATTGCTAATATATTTATAAAGTTGAAACATTTTGGAACATTGGCTTATCTTAACTAAGAAGCACACATTTAAGTTCTATCGACGTTCATGGTTTTGATATTTTCAGTGAACATTTTTCATTCACAATTTTTCACTTTAATGCTATTGCATACTATTAACCTTTTTGGTGGCATGCATGTGCATGTGTTGGTAACCCAACAAATAATATTCTTACAAGTGAAAAATAAAAGGGCTCAGACCTTTGTTATAAATCCATTACCAGTGTCACATATTTATGAGACTCTAATACAAATTTGTGAATCTTATATCTTCTCGCCAGCATTCAAACCCTAAAGTGTACTTATCCTTTTTGAATCACCACAGTCTCAACTTGACCCTTGTGTTTCAGTGCTCTTCTGGTGTCTTCCGTCTCAAAACTCCATGTCTTCCCTCTCTTATGTCTCTAACCGGTACCCCAGGGTTTCATTGCCTCTTCCTACCGTCTTAACAACCTCCAAGAAAGCAATATTTGTCAGAGATCCCTCCAGATGCTTAACTTTCCTGACCCCAAATGGGGCAAGTAGTTTATTGGAACCGGATTCAGTAGATATGTACATGTTCCACTCACTCAGACTTCTTCCAGCTCTGTCCTAAAAGCACTTCCCATTCCTGTAATCAGACCGAGAAGATGGGACTGGAAGTGAGTGTTGGGGTGTCTTTGTTCCAGGACAATTTACAGATGATAGTGATTGACCTTAACAGAAGGCTGGACAAGGGATGCTTGTATAAGCCTGCCTCCTAGTGGTATCAGCATGAATGTAAACCGCTCTTAGCACAGCTCTTGGCCATCAGAAAATGTTAGTGGCCAAACAAGTGGGTTAGAAAAGATGTCTTTTAGGCAAAATTTGAGGTGTCTGGCTGCATACCAGGTGAAATTCACTACTCTAACGCAATCATGGCTGTCGTGTGTACTTGATTGTGAACTACATTTATCATGATGCTTAGTCAATCTGAGCGATGATTACTCTAGACCAGAGGCCTTAAAGTACCGGCTCAGGGGCCATTTACGCCCCCCAAAATAGTTTAACATGGCCTGCGTCCACCTACCCTAGAATAGAGAAGCATATCTCAGTGAGATACTTTGTGTCCAGTTTGCTTTTGGCCTGGGGCACATCAGGGCCACAATCATGCCTTTATTTGCTGCTGAGGAGGAAGCTGTCTCATTAGTAAAGTTCTGGCATGCAGACTGGAACTTGAGTGACGAGGCTGATTGATTGACACAGTGCAGGAAAGCAGCCTCCATCGAGAGTTCTGCCATGCTATAGATCCTGGGGGGTATATGTATAGCTGTGTGTCTGTTTGCAAGGGAGTAAGGATTTGTGTGTGTGTGTGTGTGTGTGTGTCCATACACTCAGATTTGTGTGTATGGGTTTATTCTGGCAGTACCTGTCTGCCACCCCCCGAGAAACAATCACTACACGAGTGGCCCCCAGATAAATGGACAATGAGACCCCTGCTCTACAATGCCATTTTATTTAAGCAGGGCCCAAGTCACCTCTAGTAAATTGACCATTATTTTCTTATGTTTTATTTACCCTATGTACATTGCTGCCAAATATGCAGCAACTTTGAAAATATTAATATGCAAATAGAAATATGACTCTAGCCATAAAATCCATTCACTACTTGTAAATTCAATTAAAAAAGATAAGAGTTTGTTATATTACCCAATATCTTCTTCTGTCTGGTGATTATAACTGACTGATGCATCAATACATGGCATATTTATGCCACTGTTGTACAGTCTGAGGCTTCTTTGAGGCAGAGGTAGAAGAACATGGAAGACAGGCGCAGTCTGGAGCACTTTGGGGTTAAACCATCCTATAAACGGTTTAATCCCTTAAAATAAGACGGCGCAGACCTCCAGTTCAAAACATAACTTAATTGAGAGGAAGTTGCAATAGTACTTGGAGAGTTCCCTTAATTTGTTCATCTTCGTGTTCTAAATGAAAGTCTTTTGATTTCAAGATAAATTTGAGCCATAAAGGGTAAACTTCATGAAGTTTGTTTGAGTTCAGACAATTCTAAAAATAATTGTCGCTTTATTTTCAGTGGGCCAGTCACTCCGAATTAGTGACACTTGGCATTACTGTGACACTATACTGTCATACTAAGCCTCATCATATCCTGCGCTGAGCATTGCTCATACCCACAAGTATCTACATGAACATAAATGCTTTTATGATGGTTGTTAATGCTTTTAAATGGCTGCATTTTTACACTAGTACAGTTTGATGATATTTATTATTTTTATGGAATAGCCAGCATATGCGTCATATAAATAAATGCAGAAGTATATTCAGTGAGATACTTTCTAATAAGCTTTTTTTGTGACTTCCTCCTATGTCCCCAAGAAGTGGCATAGCAGACGAATGTAGCATATAGGGAAATAGGCTTTTAATACTATCTGCAGGATCTGACACAGTTGGGAGGTATGCAATAACAGTTTAATGAACTTATTACATTATGCTATGTTAATGTTTTCTTGTCTTTGAGTAGAAAATCTGCAAAAGGAGTACTTTGCTTTGAGAATTTTTTTAATGTGATATAAATGACCCTCCCATAATAAACAGAAGGTGGATTGGGATTGGATCAGGACTGACTGATGGATTTTAGCCACTTCCTGATCTGGGCATATGTCATTACAGAGCTGTACTACATATTGTAAGCCATCTATGTTGATGAGTGATAGATGAGGGTATGGGACTTTTTGGCTGGAATATTCTTGACATTTATACATTTGCTAGAAATTCTGCTAGCACAGTGTACAGATAATGTCTTAACTTCCATTTAAGATCATATGTGTTCCACTTTTGAAATTTTAGACAACATAGCATAAAGGTTAGCTACGTATTATGTATTTGTTCAACTATTACAGAGATTTTAATATGTTTTCACATTTAACACTTACATTTCCTGTCTTTTGTGCTTTGAAAATATTTAACATCATGCACCTGGTATCCTCTTCCTGATTAGCTGCTAATTTTCTGGTTTGTTTTTTTAATGTTTTTTGATTGTTTGTAAAAGGATTGTTACATACTTTGAAATTGGTGTACAGAAATTTGAGATGGTAAGATATATAGTCATCCCATCTATGATTTTATTATTTGTTTATAAATTGTGTAAAATAAAAAATATATCCTAGGGTGTTCAGCCAGTGACACAATTGATGCGTAATGATGACACCCATAATGGGCGGGCTAGCCCGGAAAGCATCACTTTAGAACAATCGGGAAACTGTAAATTCGAGTATGTTTAAACAGTTTTGTGATATAATAAAAATGAGTTTTTAAACTTGTTTAACCCCTTCAGGACGGGTGACGGACGAGGTCCGTCACGCAGGGGAGACCCTTAACGACGGGTGACGGACCTCGTCCGTCACGCGGTAAAATTAACCCCGGATCGCCGCTATCGCGGCGATCGCGGGGTTAATGGTGCTGCCGGTATGCCTCTGCATTGGAGGCATACCGGGAGCACCCGGTCAAGCTGCCCAGCACATGTGCTCGCTCTGACCACAAGTCGGAGCGAGCACATGTGCTCTGTATACTTACCTACCGGCTCCCTGCACTTCCGGGTTCTGTGTGAAGTGCAGGGAGCCGGATCAGTGCTGATCCTGCCCCCTGCTGTTAAAAAAAATAAAGTTTATTTAAAGTCCCCCCCCTTACCCATTTTAATAAAAAATTAACCCCTTCCCTGCCAATTGATCACTGACTACAGTGATCAATTGGCAGGGATTACATTTTACTATGATCTGATTTTTTTTTTTAACCCCTGAGGGTTAATTCTTTTTTTTTTTAACCCTCAGGGGTTAAATTAATTAAATTAATTAATTAAATTATTTTTAAATTATATATTTAGATAGCTGGGGTAGGTGGAAGTTAGTGGGGAATTGGGGGATTTGACGTTAGGCTAACTAGGGGTTAACGTTAAAAAAAAGTTTTAAAAGAAACTTTAAAAAGTTAAAAATTAAGCTTAAAAAAATGTTTTAATAACATTTAAGTAATAAAAACAAAAAAAACACACTTTACCTAGTCCAAATAAAAATTAACCCCTTCCCTGCCAGTCGATCACTGCCTACAGCGATCAAATAGAGATCACAGTATTATACTGTGATCTAATTTTTTTTAACCCCTGAGGATTAACTTTTATTTATTTTTTTAACCCTCAGGGGTTCAATTTATTTAATTAATTAATTTAAATATTTTATAACTATATATTTTGCTAGCTGGGGTGGGTGGGAGTTATGGGAAAATGGGGAATTTACTGTTAGTGCTGCGTACTGCTAGTTTGGGGTTAACAGTAAAAAAAATAGCTTAGAAAAATGTTAAATCTGTAAAAAAGTTTTAAGAAAGTTTAGGAAAGTTTAAAAAAAATTTATAAGCAAAACAAAAGTTTAAAAACTAGTTTTTAAAAGTAAAAAAGTTATAAAAAGTAAAAAAATACATTTTAAAAACGCTCATTACCACTACACCTGGAACAAACTAGAGAAAAAATTATCCCACGCCAAGGTTCAAAATATGCCTTTTGAATTACCCCAGGGTGTATTCTTTAATAAATAGTATGTGTTTGTGGGGAAGTTTCAATAACCAACCGTCTAAACTATTCCAAATTGGAACATGGACACAGCGTAAAACTTCAAAGTTAGAAAAAAACTGAATGGCTGCGTCTCAAATGCGCCCCTTCAACATCCACATATACCTGGCAAAGGTACATACGGGGGTATTGCTGTACTCAGCCGACATAGCTGAGCAACATATGAAGTATTATACAGTCATAGTACACATAAGGTTTGCAAAATATGCTGCGCAAACTCACTTTGTATGTCAAAAAGGCAGAAAAAATGCTTATTACCACTACACTTGGTACAAGCTAGCGGAAAAATGATCCCACACTAAGGTTCAAAATATGCCTTTTGAAATACCCTGGGATGTCTTCTTTAAGAAATGGTATGGCTTTATGGGGAATTTGGATTATATAGCCTGGTAAAATACTCTAAAATGGGACATAGGCACAGCATAAAAATTCAAAGTTTGAAAAAAACTGGAATGGCTGTGTCCCAAATGTGCCCCTCCGATGTCCACACATACCTGGCAAAGGTACATACGGGGGTATTGCTGTACTCAGCCGACATAGCTGAGCAACATATGAAGTATTATACAGTCGTAGCACACATAAGGTTTGCAAAATATACTGTGCAAACTCACTTTGTATGTCAAAAAGGCAGAAAAAACGCTTATTACCACTACATCTGGTACAAGCTAGCGGAAAAATGATCCCACGCTAAGGTTCAAACTATACCTTTTGAAACACCCTGGGGTGTCTACTTTAAGAAATGGTAGGCCTTTGTGGGGTAGATTGAATTTAAAACCTGCGAAGATGCTTGGAAATTGCACATAGGCCCAGCGTCAAAATTCAAAGTTTGGTAAAAACGGATATGGCTTGGTCTCCTATATGGCACTGTAGCTTCACAAAATAGTGACAAAGACATTCATTGGGGGTGTATTTTTACTCAAAAGACTTAGCTGAGCATAATTTGGGAGGTTTGAACTTAGTGGCACATATGAAATATACAAAACGCCCAGCAAAAATGCAATCCGTATGTAAAAAATGCACAAAATAATTTTTTTACCACATACTTTGGCATATATTGGTGAAAAAATGGGGGTATGTTAAGGCACAATATGCACCTTATGAGATACCCTGGAGTGTCTACTTTTACAAATGGTAGGCCTTTGTGGGGGTTTTTTGAACAGTCAAACTGTTATAATACCCCAAATGGAAGCTAAGGCTCATTAAATCCATCTCTCAAAATTCTACTGTGAATACTGTAAAGGACAGGTCTCCTATATGGCACTGTAGCTTCACGAAATAGTGCCAAAGACATTCATATGGGGTGTCATTTTACTCAGAAGACTTAGCTGAGCATAATTTGGGGGGTTTGAACTTAGTGGCACATATGAAATATACAAAACGCCCAGCAAAAATGCAATCCGTATGTAAAAAATGCACAAAATTTTTTTTTACCACATACTTTGGCATATATTGGTGAAAAAATGGGGGCATGTTAAGGCACAATATGCACCTTATAAGATACCCTGGAGTGTCTACTTTTACAAATGGTAGGCCTTTGTGGGGGTTTTTTGAACAGTCAAACTGTTATAATACCCCAAATGGAAGCTAAGGCTCATTAAATTCATCTCTCAACATTCTACTGTGAATACTGAAAAGGACAGGTATCCTGTATGGCACTGTAACTTCACGAAATAGTGCAAAAGACATACAATGGGGGTGTCATTTTACTCAGCAGATGTAACTGAACACAAAATAAAACTTTGTACAGGAATAGCACACACCAACTTTACAAAATATACACGAGAATTTCTTTGTTATAAGTTTGTGTGCCAAAAACCAAAAAGAACACAATTTTACTCCAATATTTAGCAGAGGTTGGCGGTGAAATGGCTACGTAGAAAGTGTCAAAACAACCTTAGGTAAATAGCCCGTGATGTCTACTTTATATAAATATATACTTTTGTGTGGCAATTTTGTTTTCTTTTATGGCTATTAAGCTTACAAGACAAACATACCAAATTCTAAAATCGCTCCACATTAAAATTTTATTTTACTCCTTGTGCTTTGTGACCTGTAACTACCAAAAAAAACTTAAAATCCCAGACACATTATATATTCTGTAAATCAGAACAAATAAATAAATTTATTTTTAATTACTTTCCTTAACCTGCACTAATTATGCACACATTATTATTGCAAAAACTGTAAAAAAAAACAATATTTTTCATTTTTTTTGCATTTTTCTGTATTTTTTTTATAATAAGTAAGCATTTATATATATATATGTTATATCAAATTAAAGCCCTTTCTGTCCTTTAAAAAACAGTATATAATATGTGTCGGTGCAATAAATGAGAGAGATGCAAATTGCAGTTGAACGCAAACAGCAAGAAAATGCAAAAATTGCTTGTGTCATTAAGCGTAAGTCAAGCTTCTGAAGCTGTGTCCTTAAGGGGTTAAACTTTACTGACTGTTTTAGTACACTAGCTACAGTTCATTTCACTGCATTGAAAATATGTGTGATGCCATGTTGGAAGTGTTCCTGATTAACCTGTAAAACGTGATTCATGAAATGCAAGAAAAATGTACTGAAATATTCACCTTTTTCATATTCACCATATGAGAACCAAGAACAAAGCGTAACTTACCTTCACTAATAATGAGTTGGCGCACATTTTTTCAGAATCTTTTATCAGAGTAAATGCTGGATATGTCTTTAAGGTGGTTCTCAAGCACATGGCTTTACAACCTAGTCTTCTACTCAATGCCTTATACCCTTGAAATACTTTTTGGGAAGATAATGCTCGAGGTAAACTAAGCATTAAAACATCTTAGGCTAAATTAAGCAGTTTTGGTGTATAGATCATGTTGCTGTTGGATCACTGCCCGATTCTCTGCCATTTAGGAGTTAATCCACTGTGTTTATGCAGCACTAGCCTCACCCATCTGGCTGTAACTCACAGAGCCTTCATGATAATAAGGTTTATGTTTTTCATTTTACAGCACAATGTGTTTAATTTAGAAGATATTTTATTTTGCTCTGTTAATTTAACTTTTATCACAGTTATCAGGCTGTTGCAGGCTCTATCAAGCAACTGAGAGTGCAGAATATAAGGAATTTTACAGCTTGGTCCTGGTGTCTACAGCATGTCCCAGCAGACTTTTTAATGCAAATGTGGCTTTTTAATAGAAAAGGCAGTGTTTACATTGCTGCCTAGCAACACCTCTAGTGGCAAGTCACTCAGACGACCTAGAGGTGCTTCCTGTGTCAACGCTTCAGTGTGCAGCACTGGCGTTCAGCTTCTCCTCGCTTTTCATGGTGGCGCTGAACGCTCCTGACACTATAGTATTTCTTTACGTAAACGGCAATAAGGAAAGATAAAACTCTTTTTCAGGAAGTGTGTAAGGGGGCTGTTTGAGTTACTGTCAGGGAAGGTGTGGTTAGGGCTGCATAAACAAAGTGATTTAACTCCTAAATTGCAGATACTTAAACAGTGAGACTGTTATACACTAAAACTACTTAATTGACTTAAAGTTGTTCTTCTGCTTAGTAGCCCTTCAAAAGTAGCTAAAAGGGACACATGCCAGCTTAACTTACTACTCTTATTTCAGTCATATCTTCGCAGGTTTGCAATTATGCAAACTGGTTCCATATTTTAGGCACCTATTTGGAAAATCTGCAGGTTTAGATCTATAATATGTCTATGAAAGTTAATATATCTACTAGTGTCAGAGCGTGTTTAAGGATAGTAAACACATTTCTAACAAACAATTTTAACTAAAAAAAAAAGAAACTCCACTCTCTGGAAGCTGTTTAAGATTTACATCTTCCTTGAATAACAAATGGCAGCTTTAAGTTACAACAAAGGTGAATAAAGCATGCCCTCTATAGCTCTGCGCAAAATTGTATCTCCGTCTGCTTTATTTTAGGAAATGTATTTTCACGCTTTGCAATTCAGTCGTAATTTATTGCTGGAACAACTGATCCAATGTTTATATGTTTGTAAACACTGGTTGCTAGTTTGCCAGTCCAAGTTTAAATCCCACGTCCCCCAGCTCCTACCACGCATTCCTTGTTTGGTTGTGCTTGTGAAGCAGGCAGCTCTGTTAATGTTACCTTAGTACAAGATCACATTGGAGCAAAATTGATCATAGGACCTGAGGAGCACAGGGTTTAAATTACTAGCTCAGTTCATAGCTATGTTATAATGGTGATTGTGGGAGGTTATCAGTGAACTTTTATTTTTCACGGCAATGTAGATAAAGAACGTTTGCATTTAACCTGCATTTTCGAGGGGGATCAGATGTGTTCATATATTTTTTATGAAAGACGTTGATGATGACTTTGCCTATTTAATATTATGCTGTGAGTTTAGATACATCTGTTTGACTTGTTCTGGTGTAAGACAACTGTTTGTCTCGAGCGCAGTGTAAATTCGTCACAGTAGGGATTCAGGAGAGTATTGGGAAGGCTTTTTAGGGATTTTGGTCCATGATTAATCAATAGTGTTACATTAACATTACGATTCTCCTGTTCAGTTTCATTCATGAACATTAGGCATTAAAGAGTTACTATAGTCAACAAAACCACTACAGCTTAATGTAGTGGTTCTGGGGCAAAGGGCCTGTCCCTGCATGCTGAGCATTGTAAACACTGCCTTTTCAAAGAAAAGGCAGTGTCCACATTGCTGCCTAAGATGACCTCTAGTAGCTCTCACTTGAACAGCCACAAGAGGGACTTCCTGGATGAGGTCCTGCAATCTTTGCATGACCTATGTTCAGCATCTCCATGCTCTGCATGAAGACACTGATGCTCCACACAGAGATGGATTGTTTTAATGCAACTGTATGAGGAGAGACTGAGAGATTGGTGCAGTGCGGCGATTTGCCACCTATGCTGCCTCCCAGTTCTTTCCTATTGGGGAAATATTGGATTGATGGAGATCATCAAGATTGAGGATGTCAGCCAAGGATGCGTGGCGCAACACGGAGGCCAATACTGCAAAGGCTAGAGTCTAAGTAAATCTATTTATTTTTTATTGCAGGGGGAAACCTAAATAATCAGAACACTATAGCATTAGGAATACAATACTAAAGCTGTAGTGTCTCTTTAAATGTTCCTTTAGAAGACTGTGACGGAACACCGCCACTGTGTACCATGCCCACATATTTGCCTGCTTATGGTTTTCAGGTCAGGACTATTTAACAATGTATTGCTTGTCTGTGCCTCTCCCCCTTCCTTTTCCTGTCACAGCAGGACGTTGTCCCTCTTCCATCCCGCATCAGCTTCTTGGGATGGAAACCCCTCTTGTTTTGTGTTGGAGACCCCATGTAGGGGTCTGTGCATGTAAAACATTGTCAGTTTGTGTTGTACTCCCAGAGCTGTGTGTCGTCCAGTTACTGGGAGGAAATGGATGCCTGCTTGTTGTAAGGATTCCTGAACGACTGAAGGAAGGTATTAGCGGAGGTAACCGGTCGGGTTACCAGTGGTCTGCTACAAAGACATTGTCATGTTTGCTGAACCAGTTTTAAATGATGCCTGATTTATATATCCATTTGTAGTAGGACATCTTGGGACTTTTGACTAACCACAGAGAGTAAATCTATTAAGATTCCCTCCCCCTAAGCAACATCTAACAAATACAAACAAATACATAAAAAATGGTTACAAAGAGAGAAATTACAAACATTTTTCCTAATGCACTTTATCAGCATTTTTGTCTTAATGTTTTATTAAATTAGCAATTACTGATATATTTCTTTATTAAGATCTGCATTATCAATTTCACACAGTTCTGTTGCTCCAAGTTAACTGGTGTTCCATCAGGTACTTACCAACCAGTGCAATTGAGGATTGATCATGAAACATCAAACATGCTAACTTTGACAGTCTTGATATTGAGAGAGAGACAGAGAGAGCGTGTAGGGCAGGGGTAGGCAATCTTCGGCACTCCAGATGTTATGGACTACATCTCCCACAATGCAGCCAAAATATTGCCAAAGCATCATGGGAGGTGTAGTCCAAAACATCCGCAGTGCTGAAGGTTGCCTATCCTAGTGTAGGGGATTATCAGCGGGGTTTGTTTAATCATGCACTTGCTCTGCACTTTTCCTCAGTCCTTTAGACACCAGCTAATAGATCCCCTCGGGTGGTCTTGGGGAAATTTGAGCGTCATATGATAACATTGTGTGACTTGGTAGGTCTGAACCAAGTATATTTGTTAATGGTGATGAAACTTTAGATATTTATGAATTAACAAATGACAGTGTTTGGTGGAAAAAGAGTGCTTGTAACCAGGGACTGGTGAACATAGGGACTAATAGAGCTGAAGCCCTGCTTGCAATTTTTTACTTGCTTTTTTACAAGAAAAGATTGAGCCTCTCGCCCAGCTGTCTGACAGCCAGGGAGGTGTATCAGCATTGATTTATAAATGTGCCAATTTCTATTGAAATCACACTTTTATGAAAGAGGGCACACTCTCTGCGTTTGTAGTGGAAAAAATATAGGAACTAGCAATGACGATGATGTTGGCTATTGATGAATTAGTTAATATAATAATGCAGTTAATACTAATGAAGTTTCTACTGCTATACTTTTATATTCAACATAGTATGTGGAAAAGTGCATTTGGGAGCTATTACAGCTGTTTTACTGATATTTTAATGTATATGCAATTCCCTTTCATAACACCACAAACCATACATGTGTAGCAAATTGTCATATATTTGGGAATTGTCATATACATTGGGAAAACAATGTAGCGGGCTGTGCTACAATGAGGCATTGCCTCTTTGGTTATGGAAGAATCGCCACCTTGAAATTTGAGAACCTGAGACTGGTGAGTGACGCCCAACTTTAAATACTTTCAAAAGTTGGTTGGTCAAGTCTGTAGCAAAGTCGTGGTTTATATATGAGGTCTGACTGAAAAGTATCCAGCTATTGTTAATATACTGAGAATGGTTTGTCGATTTAACCTGGCAGCCAAGGGGGAGTGGATTTGGAATGCGCATACATGAACCCTGACAACTTTTACCTTCTTGATCCTGGAGTGTTACCTGTGTCCTTGTTCTTCTGTGAGTATTCTGGTGGATTCAGCATTGTCCACCTTTGCAACGGAGCACCTCCACGACAGAAGGCATGATTAATTAAGGCTCTCTTGAGCCGAAACGTTGCACTTTGCACTTTATGAGGTGGTGTGTCCTGAAATAAATTTACCTTCTTGATCCTGGAGTGTTGCCTGTGTCCTTCTGCTTCTGTGAACTGTGGGGGCGCTAGAGGCTGTTGAGTGAGCATGTGTATTGTGTGGCCATTGCATTCAAAATGACTGAGCGAGGAGAGCAACGAATCTGCATCAAATTTTGCGTTAAGCTTGAACATACCTCTGCGGAAACCATTGGGATGATTCAGAAGCTTTTGGGGATGACACAATGAGTGCAGCGTAAATAAAATCACCCAGGTGACTCAGCCCAAATTTGGCAACCTGCGACTTCTGGCTTTTCCCAAAGCTAAAATGCCCTTTGAAAGGGAAGAGATTTCAGACAGTCTTTGAGATTCAGGTAAATTCAACGAGGCAGCTGATGGCGATTCCAACAAAAGATTTTGCAGAGTGTTTCGAACAGTGGAAGAGACACTTGAATAACTCTGTGAGGTCCCAAGCTGCCTACTTTGAAGGGGACTGAGGCGTCATTCTCCGAGGTACAATGTTTCTTGTATCCTGTGTATCTTGTATGTTAAATGTCTCTATTTTTCATATTACATGGCTGGATACTTTCTGGACAGATCTAGTACATAATAGGTATATATAGGTGTCTCTTCCAGGGTGCAGTATCAGGTATAATAACTTTAATGTGATTGATGGCAGTGACCTTAAAATAGGCCACATTGTTAGAAAAATAATAGTAAGTAGACAAGAGTTTGCCAGATTTTGAGATAGATTTTTATAATATTACTAATATTACTCAATGAGACAGCCACTAGAGGGAATAGGGGGAAGGCTTAACCCATTAATAAACATAGCAGTTTCTCTGAAACTGCTATGTTTATTAAAAAATGGGTTAACCCTAGCTGGACCTGACACCCAGACCACTTCATTAAGCTGAAGTGGTCTGGGTGCCTAGAGTGGTCCTTTAAAAGAAAAAAACTCTGGATAAGGTAACATCCTCATTGGCCCTTCCACTGCTCTCAGATTCATCAAATAGGAAACAGGCTGTTTCGGACAGGGGTGCAGCTAAAGCTCTAAGCCAATAAGTAGCTCCCCATTCACAAAATGCCCCTCCCATACCCACTAGGTCACACCGTTGCGCTTGCTCCACTCAAAGGCAGACTCAGAGTGCCTACCACGCTTTGCTGTGCCATGTAAGGTTGTATCATATATGTAATGCACAAATCTAATGATCCCCGAAGGGTTGTATCTGCATTGTTTCCCCTTAAATGCAATTGATCACACCTTATGTTTCATTTAATTGTTATATTTTTCCTTTGTTGTTCCTTTGGTATACCATGGTATACTGCTTGTCTGCACTATCTTTTGTTTATGTCTTAATTTATTGAAAACTTAATAAACTTTGATTTGAGAATAAAAAAGAGTTGCTCCAAACATTATGACTTGTTTAGTGATTTTAAGTGGTCACGGTGTCTGAAGTCTGTATGTGCAGCGTTTTACCATGTTATACAGTATACAGATTACATTAATGTTTGATTTGTTTTAAACAAAACACATAGATCAAGCTCCAGAATAAAAATTTAATAGGTAATTATGTCACGTTTGTGGAAAACACACAACAGCGCACAATCAGGGAGCAGAAATGGTACAATATGGTAAAAAGGGGGGGGACCTATTGGTAGCGGAGGGATTAAAGCATAAATAAATAAGTACATTTCCCTTACATTACATTTTTTGTTGCAGCAAACTCTGCAATCTGTGTGTAGTCGCTTGTGTTGCTGCCTCTCCAGCGTGCTGTGGCTGTCGTGATGTGTCTTGGCTGATTTCTAATGGTCAGTGAGGCTTTTTGCAGGGCACCAACAGCCTTAAGGCAAAGTTGCTAGCAGTGCATGAAAATTGGACGTGAATGCTCAACAGTTTACTACAATCTCTGTTGCCACCTGTCACATGTTATTTGTCAGAAAGCAGAGCCAGGTTAAAAATATAAAGCACAGAAGCACATCTATTACCTGGTTTATTGAACATCATTTCGGCATGATTGAGTGTTAAATCGGTAATGCATCTACGTATGTACTGAATGTTTGTTTGCATTGCTCACAGCAAAGCTTGCTGCATATTGCCTGCAATGTCTGATGTTATTTAAATTTAGCATGTTAAAAGGAATCTGTGTAACTTGAATAGTATTACATAAACCTGAATCATGCAAACGTGTGTTGTACGTCAACCTCTAGCAGCCTCCTATTTAAAGGGATACTACAAGCACCAAAACAACTGTAGCTTAATAAAGTTAATGCCCCTGAAGCCACACTGCTCAATTTTCTGCCATTTAGGAGTTAAATCACTGTTTATGCAGCCCTAGTCACACCTTCCTGCATGTGACCTATACAGTCTCCCTACACACTTTCTGTTTAGTTAAACATAATATTTAAACTTCCTTTACTGCATATTTGGTTTAATTTAGAATGTTTTATCTCCTGCTCTGTTAATAGCCTGCTAGAATCCGTAGGAGCATCCTGTGTATGTAAGTGATATAAACTTCTAAATTAAAACACAATGTGCTGTCACATCTGATGGAAAATGAAACCATTTTTTCATACAGACTGTCAGTCACAGTCAGGGGAGGTGGGGCTTGGGCTGCATAAACAGAAGCAAAAGTGATTTAATTCCTAAGTAGCAGAGAATTGACCAATGAGCCTGCAAAACCGCTATCTACACCAAAACTGCTTTATTAAGCTACATTTATTTTGGTGCTTAGCATGGCCATTTAAAGCTTTAGGGGTTTGTTACAATGCAGCAGAAGGGTGAGAGATAGATGTGTTAATATACACACTTCTTTATAAAAGTTATTGCAAACGGTATGCACTATTAAAAATGGGAGCACACAATCTCAATATTAAGTAACACAAGTATTAATATTTACAGATAAGTACAGACAACATTATGAGGACATTTTACTTTATAGGACTTTACATTTGATACATGGGCATATTGTTATGTTACAGTTATTGAAAGTTTAGTTTCATTAAAGGACCACTATAGGCACCCAGACACCTTCAGCTCAATGAAGTGGTCTGGGTGCCAGGTCCATCTAGGATTAACCCTGCCTGCTGTAAACAGAGAAACTGCTATGTTTACAATAGGGTTAATCTCATTGACAGCCGCTAGAGGTGCTTCCACGCTTCTCACTGTGATTTTCACAGTGAGAAGACGCCAGCGTCCATAGGAAAGCATTGAGAATGCTTTCCTATTGACTGACTGAATGCGCGCGCGGCTCCTGACGCACATGCGCATTCAGTCGATGACGACTGAAGGAGGAGGAGAGTCCCCAGTGCTGGAGAAAGGTGAGTGTTTAACCCCCTTCCTCCCCTATCAGCCTGGCGGGAGTGGGACACTGAGGGTGGGGGCATCCTCAGGGCACTATAGTGCCAGGAAAACGAGTATGTTGTCCTGGCACTATAGTGGTCCTTTAACCCCTTAAGGACACACGACATGTGTGACATGTCATAATTCCCTTTTATTCCAGAAGTTTGGTCCTTAAGGGGTTTAAGTAGATGATAGGGATTATATTAGATTATTCAATATGGGAGTTTAACAACGGACATACTGGATGTAACAATAAGCATTGATATGCTACATTTGTTTTTATAAATTGCCTATCTCAGTGTAAGGATACATTTCTGAGAATGATAATACCAGATAGTTGGCATTACAGAGTCTCTTTAAAGGGACACTACACTGTCCAAATACAACAATAAATAAAAATCATTGTTTAGTATATATATATATATATATATATATATATGTATATATATATATATATATATACCAAATGAAAACATGTATGTATTTAATTATGCATTTTTTTAATTGGGGGTAAATGTTAAAATAGCTTGCAAAACCTGCACATCTCTTGCCTGCAACCTTTGTATGCCCTCCTCTTCTAACCCCTCCCAGACTTTCTGTGGCTGTCCAATCGCAAACTTGAAATGCTGCTCAATGAGAAGTCTTTGCAAGGTAGAGTAATTGCTACCTATTGTGTTTAGTTCCACTGAGCTAAACAACCAGGAAGTAACAGAACTGGTTGTCTGATTGACAATGGGTATAACAAGGTAAATTAATAAAAGTGCCAATTTGTATTGACATCTGCACTTTTTGTAAATACAAAAAGAGGACACACTCTTCACACATAAAGTTCTTCTGCAAGCTTAAGTTCTTTAGAGGTCTGGAGTACCCCTATAGATATTTTTGTGTTACTTTTCCTTTTAGTGATGCTTGTTGAACTTGTGAATGTGATAATACATCCTGCAGGCCATGCCTGTTTTCTTTTTTTTTTCTTTTTTTTTTAGGTAGTAAGTTGTCCCATAATAATTCCAGTTATTGACCTTGGTTCAACCTACAAACAGTGTTTAGACTATATACATATTAGCTTAGCTATTTGCATTATGTAATCTACCTGATTTTCTGGTTCTCGGTGACTGCACATACACCACTCTGCACGTACCACAGGGCAGCCTTGACATATACAATCAGAATGTTAAAGTGAATTACTTTCTTTTCGAACCTTCACCATCAATATTTTTATTTAATAGTACTGCATTGGAAGAATTAGGTCTTATAAAGTTTGATTAAAACTCAATAATTTCTTGCTGCCTAGATTTTATTGACCAACATGAACTTTTTTGTTAGAATTTATTTCTATAGCTCCAGAAACTGTATTGAATATCGTAGTGATGTCCTCTATCTATACCATGGGTCGTCAACCCACTAGTGGGCGCTTCAGGATTCCAGGTGGGCGGTAGGGATTTTCTAATTTTGAGAGACCGGGTGGGCGGGTGCAAGCCGGTGGTACCCCTGCGACCGGGTACCGCCTTCACCATTTGCGGCCCCGGCCCGCGCGGCAAACCGCCGGTGCTGGATATGGAGGGTTCCATCGGGTGACCCATGCTGTCAGGGCCATCCGATGGATGTGGATTGTAAGGGGGCCCGGTCAGCGCTGGGCGCTTTAACAGCGCGACCAAGCCCCCTGTGATTACATCACCAAGCTGGGAGGAAGTGACTGCACGTCACTCCTCCCAGCTAATACTGAGAGCTGCGCGGGAGGAAGACCAGGGAGTCAGAGTGAGAACTCTGACTCCCATCCACCTGAGCCACCACTGGACCCCAGGGAAAGTCACCCTCCTGCACCTTAAAGGTAGGAAACAGGAGAGTGACTAAAATATTTTGTGTGTGTTTGTGAATGCGTCTTTGTATGTATGTCGTGTGTGTGTGTGTCTGTTTGTGTGTGTCTGTATGTGTGTCTTGTGTCTGTCTGTGTGTATGTGCCTTTTTATGTATGTCTTATGTGTGTCTGTATGCATGTCTGTGTGTGTCTGAATGCATGTCTGTGTTTGTCTGTTTGTATGTATGTGTCTTGTGTATGTCTGTATGTGTGCCTGTCTGTGTGTCTGTATGTATGTGTGTGTGTGTGTGTGTATGTATGTATGTATGTGTGCCTGTCTGTTATAGTGGGCTATAGCAAGTAATAGTAAGTGGGATACCTAGCTCAGCCTTCCTACTGGGCATTGCTATAAGGAAGGTTAAAAAAAATTTTTTAAAAAGGGAGAAAAAAAAAGGTGGGGAGGGGAATTGAGGAGGGAGAGGAGGGGAGCTGACGCACAGATGAGAAATCATTTTATGCGCAAACAGAGAAGTCGTCTGAATATCACCGAAAGAGGAGACCTTCGTTTGTTCCTTACGAAAATCGAACCAGATATCAAATATTTAGTCTTGCAGCATCAACCTCAAGGATCTCATTAATCACTAGTAAAGGTAATTTCAATTTACTTTATTGTTTTCTCATTAAACTTTATAAAGTTAAAAACATTATAAACATGCATTAAGTAGAAATAAAAAGATAAATGTACATGCAATTTTTTTTTTTTTTCAAAACACCCTCCTTTCTAAAAAATATTCTGCACTTGCGCGAAAACTGATGGGCGGTAAGGAAATGTTTTCAACCAAAAAGATGCATTAGTGGGTAGAAAAAGGTTGACTACCACTGATCTATACCAATCGCAGTACGTTTCATGGTTGATACTGTATGAGTAGCCCCAAGTATTTAATCTTTTAATCTCACAACAGGTCCTGTGTACATTAGTCCTCCCATGGGATTCGGAAAAAAAATTATATCTTATATCCTGCACACAAACACTAGATATTGATCCCTGAGGAGAAACTAAGAAAAAAAAATGTTGGTAATGGAAGTAGATGGATATAACAAATAGGCAAAATCGATACTGTGGATATTAAGTGAGAGGGTAGAACAATTAAATGTGAAGAAACACGTTTTATGGTGGGATTATCAGAGCACATTGCTAGAAGAGTTTTTCTATTGTTTTCTTAGAAAACAATTATTTACAGTAAAATGTAAAACATAATTCACAAATGTGTATATATTCAGATACCAGGGATTAGTTAAGAGGTTCTTGCATGTCATAACTGTAAGATCTAATATACTCACATGCAAAGATCAATGTAAGTAATGAAATCACTATGTTAGATGTCCAATACAGAGATTTTAGATCCCATTGGAATTATCTGCGTAAGTGTGTACATTTCCCAGGGGATCACTAGCAAGATATCCACATTGAGTTCCTAAACCGGTGACTTCTCTGCCTAAAATCTACAATGAAAAAGGGCAGTCTAATAATCCTTACCTTAAAGACCACTCATGGCACCCAGACCACGATATCTCATTGAAGTGGTTTGGGTGCAATGCCCCTGCTGTCTTAAACCTGCAATGTAAAGCACTGCAGTTTTGTAAGACCGGCAATATTTTAATTGCGAGTTTAAGCACATCTCTATTGACTGTAAGAACCCAGTCAGACTCGGTTTTCAATCACATGCTGTTCATAGAGTTCATTTGATTGTTTAAGTGGTGGTGACTTGCTGAGCGTGTGCACTAGGCTCAATCTGGGGAAGCATTGGATTGGCTGAGATCACCAGGGAGGCAGGGCAGCTGTGGCAAGACCAACACAGCGAGTGAGTAAGTAAAACTTACAATTATAAGCTAACATGGGAAGGGGGAGCAGACACCAAAATAGGTAAGGTATTCATGGTTGTATTTCTAATGCTATTGTGTTCCTTGAAGTTTGGAAGAAGTATAAGACATGTGTACCACCTGCCAAAAAATATGGACACCATGAATGTTTTACTTAAAGGACCACTCTAGGCACCCAGACCACTTCAGCTTAATGAAGTGGTCTGGGTGCCAGGTCCTTCTAGGGTTAACCCATTGTTTTATAAACATAGCAGTTTCAGAGAAACTGCTATGTTTATGAATGGGTTAAGCCTTCCCCCTAATCCTCTAGTGGCTGTCTCATTGACAGCCACTAGAGGCGCTTGCGTGCTTCTCACTGTGATTTTCACCGTGAGAGCACGCAAGCGTCCATAGGAAAGCATTGTAAATGCTTTCCTATGCGACGGGCTGAATGCGCGCGCAGCTCTTGCCCCGCGTGCGCATTCAGCCGGCGGGGACGAGAGAAGGAGGATCGGAGGAGGAGAGCTCTCCGCCCAGCGCTGGAAAAAAGTAAGTTTTTAACCCTTTCCCCCTTCCAGAGCCGGGCGGGAGGGGGACCCTGAGGGTGGGGGCACCCTCAGGGCACTATAGTGCCAGGAAAACGAGTATGTTTTCCTGGCACTATAGTGGTCCTTTAACGGGAAATAGATCCTCTATACGCAGATGTTTCAGATTATTACTTTGATGAAGAAATAAAAATGTAGTAAGCAACACAAATAGTTTACAATAGTGGTGCTATTTATGACTTTCATGGCCACAAAACCTTCTTGTCATCTCAACTAATGAACACAGAGGACTGTTTTTCTTTTCTCTCTAGAAGCTTTGACCTTGTATAGGGATACATGATGACCATAAATTTGAGCTTTCCCTTTGGGGGAGACCATGTTTCTCATCATTAGAAGCAGTAGCTAAGCACTGTGAGTAATGTGCTGACCCTGTCAATAAACATTCCTTGGATACCCTTGGCATATTTGTAAGCATAGACTCTAATTAAATTAACATCTAATCCTCATTTTCCCTTTCTTATAATTTGCATTTTCATGTCTTGTTAGTAAGTATTGAATTAAACACAGGCCTTTGTACTATTGCTTCAGGGTACGGAACTTCAGGGCACGGAACACACATTTAAGACGAGCTGTGTAATCCTTGTAAGGATTGTAGTTGTGTCTTAGATACAAATCTGCTTAATATATTCTGATTTGCTAAAAAGCATCTAGCGCTTATTAAAGGCACCTGTGAAAATGTAAATCATATTGTCTGAACACTGTGAAATCCATATATTTATTGATCTGTTTAGAACCCCTTTTGCTACTATAGATTAAATCTCCTTTATTAAAGATGTCCTTGTGTTCTTCGCACAGTTCTGTGGATTAACTATGCATATATTGTGTGTGTATATATATATATATATATATATATATATATGTTCCATGCTCTCATATCGTCTTGAAGACTCACTTCTCCGGTGTAAACATTTCTAACTATTTCAGTGCTTCCTCAAAGCTTCCTCTTAATTTTATTTTCCATCCCCATAAAATCCATTTTGAGAACTGGAAGCCAACACTGTTGCTAAGTCTTATGGTTATTCCAAAGCCTTCTCATTTTCTTATTCCCCTTCACCTTTTTGCCTTTGAGGAAGTTCTTTATAAATACTCATCAGCATCAAACCACTGACAGGTGAAGTGAATAACATTGATTATTATGTTACAATAGAACCTACTGGGGGGTGGGATACATTAGGCAGCAAGTGAACAGTAGGTTTTTCCAATTTCATGTGTTGGAAGTTGAAAAAGTGTTCGAATGAAAAGATCTGAGTGACTTTGACAAGGGCCAAATAGTGATGGCTAGACAAATGGGTCAAAGCATCTCTGAAATGGCACGACTTGTGGGGTGTTCCTAGTATGCAGTGGTTAGTACATACCAAAGGTGGTGCAAGGAAGAACTACCGGCATCAGGTTTGCTGGCCCCAAGGCTCGTTGATGCATGTGGTTTGTTTTAGTGTGAAGACATGTGCACTTATATATGTGATGACAAAATTGCCCCAAGTGTTAAGAAATGAGACTAATGGCCCTTTCCAGGAACCACAAATTGTTAGTGCATAGTTTTATGTCACTTGTTGTATAGTTGTTACCATATTGTTAGACTGTTCTACCAATCACGGCAGTGACTTTTGCCTTTGGTATTCAACTCATTTCTCCCATGAAGATACACATATGCTTGCAGTTGCTTTATTTACATTTTCCTTAAAGGGATATAGAGAATGCAGTTTGTACACTTTAGACTTTAGGCACATCTTTATGTAATACACATGAACCTATCACACGTGGCTATTCATTAAAGGACCACTACAGGCACCCAGACCACTTCAGCTTAATGAAGTGGTCTGGGTGCCAGGTCCATTTAGGGTTACCCCTGCCTGCTGTAAACATAGCGGTTTTAGAGAAACTGCTATGTTTACATATGGGTTAATCCAGCCCCTAGTGGCATGTTTCTTTTGAAGTGGTTCACAGACTTTGTATTTATTGCAGCATATTTTTAAGTTTTTAAAACCAATACATTGTTAAAAAGCTGATGTAACAGTTGAGTGGATCCAATTTAGGCCGTATTCCTGACTTAAAGCAGGGAGCAAAGAAGAGAGATGTCTCCTGACTAGCACCAAGGCTTAAACAACCTGAGGCAAGGTATATCTGGGCACCTAAGTAGGAGAGCAAATTATCCTACATTTAAGTTCTGAATATACGTTATTTGATATGCTGTTCCAGTGTGTTTTTATCTCTTTGTTCTGTTAGAGATATATGCTGAGAAACAGGGGACACCTTAGAGGCACAGAAGCCCCATTATTCAAGCTATTTCAAATAAAGCTCCCTTAAATATAAGTGGTAAAACTTACAATTTTATCATATATCTCTTCATATTACACAAAATACTACACTATAATATTTTTGTATTTTTTTTTGTGTGTGTGTTTTTTTTTGCTACTGTCTATTAGTAAAGTATTTATCTAGCTGAGGTGGCCACCAATTAGGGTTTTTATTTTAGTTTATGTTTGTAATAAATTATACTTGTTATAAGATACACATAACATATCTTTAGCTCAATGAAGTGGTCTGGGTGTCAGGTCCCTCTAGGGTTAACCCTGCCTGATGTAAACAGGGCAGTTTCTGAGAAACTGCTATGTTTACATCTGGGGTTAAGCCAGCCTCTAGTGGCTGTCTTCTGGACAGCCACTAGAGGCGCACCGGCAATGATTGAGGCATATTATGCCTCAATCACGCAGAGCGTCCATAGGAAAGCATTGAAAAATCTTTCCTACGGACACTTTGAATGCGCGCGCGGCAGTGCCGCGCATGCGCATTCGGCGCCAGTGACGTCAGAAAAGGATGCTGACGTTGGCGGGGGAGGAGAGGTAAGGGAGCCCGGCCGGGGAAAAGGGTGAGTAGCTGAAGGTGGTTTTAACCCCTTTAGCACCACGGGAGGGGGACCCTGAGGGTGGGGGCACCCTCAGGTTACTATAGTGTCAGGAAAACCAAGTGGTTTTCCTGACACTATAGTGTCCCTTTAAGGGATGGCACTGATGATTCACTGACATAGGCCCCCAATTTTAAAATATTTCCCAAATGATTCAATACTGTTAGAAAGACTTTCCAAATCATTTTTCTACAAAAATCATCATTAAAGTCTAGGGGAATTTTTTTTTAGATTAGTTATTTGTAAAGGTTTTCTCACTGTATTGAATAATTTGGGAAGTTTATTATATTGAGGCCATAGTTTTTTTGTGTATTTATGCTTGCATGTATAATTTTTTTACAAATTGATTTCCACAGTAAGTAGACATGCAAATAAAATTAACTTACATCTGCCAACCAAGGCCCGATTTTCACATTATTGATAAAGCTTTTCAAGTGATTTATGTGCTTTGAAAAATATTATAAATTGTGATTATTTTAATATATTGATTTTTTTCTTTTACATGTGATATTTGTTTTGATAGTGTAATATTTAGAAAAAATTAAGTTTATCTAAAAATATAAACTAATTTGCTTTTTTTCAGTTGACAGTGTTTAATTATTTCACTGGCTAAAACCCCCTTAGCTCTTTTAAACACAACTCACTATGCCGGGGCTCGCAAGAAGAGCCTGTGCCCGGCAGAGGTGCAAACAGAGAGCCTCCAAGTACCACCAGACCACCAAGAAATGTGTAGCAGGAGCCTCTACCACCAGACAACCAGGGATTGATGTGTCCCCATTCCCTGGCCAGATGTAGTAGACTGGGGCGGAGGGGGCTGAGGACACATATATAATAATAAAATATAAAATTACTCCCCTACATACACTGCATTCCCTAAACACATACTACATGCCCGACTTTGCTAATCCCCCTATACCCACACATGCTACATTCCCTATACACGCACGCTGAAGTTTACTGTAATTTTGATACACAATCTAATATTTTTTTTTTCCCCCACATACATTTCTAGTTAAAATATATATATAATATATATAAAATATATGAGTGTCTAATATTGCGGAAATTGGCTAGTTAAAAAGAAATAACACAAGTAGTGCTATTTTTTATATTCTTAATTATTTTATTCTTGGAACAGATACACATTAAAGCCACTAATAACCGTACGCCAATAGTAACATGGCCTATATTTACTTTTAGACATGACGACAGCCCTATATACGATATATGGTGTTATTGCTTCTGCTCGGTTGTAACAACATAAAGCTTTATGATTTATGACTTTGATATTTCCACAGAACAAAGATTAGGATATTGGTGTTTAGTATGGTTGACTCAACTTGAGAATCAATAAACTACCATCTGTCAAAGCTATGGCATACTGTAAAAACATTTATTTCTACCAGGAATTTCTATTTCTATGTAAAGAAATGGTCTAAACGTATCAAGAGGAATTGATTGTGTTTGGACAAAACTGCCATCTTTTTTTATCTGCTGAAGTTTTAACTGTAGATCTGCAATCTCCAGTCAAATGACAATATTGCTTAAAAAAACACTCCAAGAACCATAAACACTACAGTCCTCTGTAGTGCTTATGGTGCCAGGAGTGCCTTTGTGCCCCTCATTGTTTAAAAACGTTTTGACAACTTACCTGTGGTCCAACAGGAGCTTGCCGCTGCCTCCTCTAGAGCTGGATGCTGCAAAAGGAGTTTCCGTTAGCTCCACTGATGTAAGACCTAAGGCCAGCTCATTGGTTGAGAGCATTGGTTGAGTGCTATCTGTGTATCTGCACCCCCTGCACTGCCAACGTAGAATCTTTTTTTGGCAGAAGGTTCTGTTGGATGTGATGGCAGGTACCTGGTGAACTCAAAGTATATTGCCAAAAACCGTTTGTAAATGGTTTGACAAATTATATGGGGGTAGGGAGTGCCAGGGCGTTCCTGGAACTATCATTACTACAGTGGGCTCTAGTGATTATGGTAGTCAGAGTCTTGCTTTACGGAGCATGGTCATTTCATTGGCAATTTTTTTTCATTTCGTTTTCATACTCTAACAAAATTGCATCTATTGTAAAAACACAACAGATAAAACAGAGACACAAGATTTTTTTTTTTTTTTTGTAATGACATTTTGGTATAATGTGCAGTGGGATTCAGAAAAGAAAAAAAAGGTGAAATACAGAGGGGGCAAGCCAAACATATTGCATCTTACAAAATTAAAATTGAAAAGGTGAAGTACATTTTAGTTGCTCTTAGAATATACATTGAGACAGGTTTATTGTAAGCTAATAATAAGTAGGATTTCAAAGGAACACTATAGTGTCAGGAACTCAAACATGTATTCCTGAAACTATAATGTTAAATTAACTATTTAGGTCCTTGGACTTCCCTTTATTGCATGGGAAAGGTGTTTTTACTCATCTTTTTTTACCACATCTCGCTGTGGCTAGCTCTCCCCCTATGGCTCAGGTCATCAAACTTGCATCTCTATGGGGAACAAATCATTGCATCTCTATGGGGAATGTTTAGCGTCTCCATGCATAAGGTATAAACACTGAACAATAGTGTTGCACAGTGTGCAGCATTGGACTAGGAAGCTCATCTAGTGGCTGTCTGAGTGACTGCCACCAGAGGTGTTACTAGGCAGCAATGTAAACACTGTCTTTTCTATGAAAAAGCAGTGTTTACATTAAAAAGCTTGCAGGGACAGATCAGTCTTATTTCTTAGAACTTTTATGTTGTCATATTTCTTTCTTAACAAATCTCACTAACTGCTCGTCACTTTATATTCTAACAAAAAAACCTTATATAAATATCAACCTTATTGCTCATATCTACATTAGTTAGAATTGATTACAAAGATATAAAAGAGAAAAATTAAAACTGGGGAGGGGTGGGGGTGAGGAGGGGTAAACGCAGATGTATTCAGGGATATATCAATTAAATAGGAGAGGCTTATAAGAGCAAATCCGATCTTAAAGAAGTCTGATTGTTATTTGTAACTTGTTTAACGTTCAGCCCTCTGAGTGGTACATACATACGCTTTCAGTTCAGCTACCCTGGCCTTAAATTTGAATTCACTCTGAACTCACCTTGAATTCTCACTTTATTAAAATAACCTTGAAAAAAAAAATACAAAAAAATGTACCTCCACTTTGATCTTTAATTCCACTGTAAATTATATACAAAGTATATCTTCTTTATTTTACTTAGGCTTTGTTTCATGGATGTTCTATAGTATATTTTTTATAATTTTAATTTTAATGTTTTTAATTTAACTTTCAGTTCAGTACTGGGTATACAATACACACACAGGGATCAAAAACACCAGATTACACAGGCGATGTATTTAGAGTCCATCAATTTCATTCATTTAAGAGAAAACCGCCTCATTCTCCATATGTCACCATAAAAATTATACAGACAAGATTTACAATTGGACAGACGTGGCATCCCTGTATATTTATTTCCTCTTCTCCAATTGGGTAAATACATTCTCAAGCCACCTGTTAGCATTACATCATTTATTCCCAAGAACACAGTTGCACGGAACGCTTTAAACAAAGTAGTTCTTCTTGTATTGTTTGCACTCAAAGAGCTGATGTCATGCCAACTGATGTCATTGTATGCCTTTGTATCATCACCATAGCTACCGGGCAGGTGGAAAGCCTACCGCTGATGTCATCGTAAATATAGAGGTTACAAGAGTTTTAAAACCGTTTGTTTTTTCTTCTTATGAATAGAACCAAAGTTCCTACCACACTTGGAGATACGAAAATCCCCATATTTATTATTTGCTTTGTAGACCATGATGTTAGCATAATAGAATATTGTTAATACTGCAGAACCATGCAATTTAATTTAATGATCCTCTCAATTCTTTTTGAAAGTTTTTTTTGTTTGTTTTTTTAGAAATGATTTTATTTGTCCCAAAATGTGACTTTGATGAAGAAGAATTGGAAACAAAGATCAATTAAATAAAATGTAAAAACAAATAATAAAACAGTTGTTTGTAGCAGTTAAATTTTGATTAATTCTTTAACTCAAAGAAAATTATAATTATCAAAATGTAAAACTTTTTACATTTCTTATACCAAAAATGATGGAGAAATGACATGGGAAATGTTTTTCCAAAATATGCAATTTGTTAAAGTTCAGAAATTCGGTTGTTTTAATCTCTTGTTCATATTGACCAAAATTTAGCAAATCCCTTCTCAACTATAAAGTGATATCTGTTTGGATTGTTTTGGATAACTGCCTGGTGGAAGCATAAGGCATCAAGAAACAGTTTCTTTTTTTCATTATTTTGTTTCTTATGATTTATTCCAATTTTTTTTATATCATATGATCCGTTGAAAAAAAAAATGTTCTTTGAATTTAGACGCCTGCACTATTTGCTCTTAATTAGCGCTGCAAACATTTGATTAGGGAACAGAAAAAGATCTAACAATTTTACGTGAGCCACTAGCTTATTGGACAAATCGATATGTGCAGTTCTATAAATCAGCAATAAGATTCAACTAAATACCTTAAATGTATTCACTATGCTGAACAGTAATCCCTTTTAGAACTGACTACAGTATACTGTATAACAATATGATAATTTGCATAAAAATCATATTGTTTTATAGTTCAGATTTAAAGTAATTCAGTATTTTGTACAATGTACAACTGTGTACTTGTTAGCACCCTTTATTACACAGCACAGTGGAATAGCTTACTTTCTCAATATTGGTATTGCGTTTTTGAAGTATAGTATCCACTGTATATTCTTTGATGTTCAGTTACTGACTATGGCTGGATCCAGAGGACAATACTTCAATATATTCACCAATACAAAAACAATGCAGGTTTTATATCCTGATGAGTCACATGACTCAAGATAGGGCAGACCAGACCCTTCCTGTGCCAAAAAATAGGGACACACTCGAATGAGTGAGGACCTATTTTTGGATATCAACCCATGGAATAAGAACCATTACAGTAGAAAGTCTTGGCATAGATTAAATGCTGCCAATGTCCTTTATATATTATACCTACGTATATCCTCTGTCTGTACTCCCACCTCTAATCCTCGCTTCCAAGACTTTTCCAGGGCTGCACCTCTTCTGTGGAACTCCCTTCCCTTCTCCGTAAGAATTTCACCCAGTCTCCACACATTCAAAAAATCATTGAAAACTCACTTCTTCAAGAAAGCATATAAATTAAACTGTTTTCATGTTTTTTTCCCCCACCCTCCATGACTCCTCTCCTGCAACTGTCAAAAATTACCTACTAAGCCCTCAGTGAATACTTTTCTTACAACCTACTTTGTACCCCTACTTTTACCCTTCGTGTCACTACACTCCACTCCCTCTAGAATGTAAGCTCATTAACCAGGGCCCTCCACCTCTCTGTTCCTGTACGTCCAGTTGTCTGGTTACAATTACATGTCTGTTAGTGCACCCATTGTACAGCACTATGGAATCCGATGGTGCTATATAAATTATAAAATAATAATAATAAAACCCTTGGTAGAGGTAAAGGCTGTCCCATTTACTTGCTACCGCTAGCCATACTCCAGATAAAAACATCTATATTAAAGCCAAAAAAATTAGCTCTGTTCAATATGACAACACATGTTTTAATATTCTTAGCGGGTAAAAAAAAAACACTGTTAAGGAATTTATGCATCTTAACTTTTCCTAGGCAGGGGCATTCTCATCGAGCCAGGTGGTTCCTAAATCATCTGGTCCCAATAATTATAACCTCTGACCCAATAGGGTACCAGGGGATGCCTAATCAAAAATCTAACTCTTCCAAATGTGGCCAAGGGTCTCCAAGGTCCTGACAACCTACCTCTTCAGACCCTCACACCTCTCCTGACCCCAGCATAATTCCACGTAAATATCATGTCTCATCAAGACTCATTAAACATTATACTTTTTTGATATATGTTCTTAATATTTGCACTGATGATTCTGCTATAAGTTGACCATGATATCTTCTAGAATACAAAGCATCAATGTTAATGCAACATTAAAATGTTAAATAGGCTAATACGCCTTGCAATTCAGAGATGGATCTTTATTAGTCTTTTGGCACACCAGGTTCATAGTGATACTGAAAGCAAATCCTGGGTAGGAAAAAGGCCAGGCATCATTTTACATCTGGAGCTTTGACAGGCATAGAAATAGCAGTCAGGGAAATATATTTAGGTGTGTGGATAAACCTGACCTGATAGGGTAAGAATTGATACTTTGAGTTCCAGAGAGTTACTCAACATTCTGGCAATCATATGACAGATCTGGATTTTTCTTGTTAGACTGATGTCACTATATGAGTTTTTTTTTTTTTTTTTTTTTAAATGTTTAATTAAAATAAATACAAATGGCATGGGGTAACATGAAAACAAATTATATTAGTTGATACTTATTGCGTCCTAGCTGAAGAAAAGGGTGTTTTTGGTGCAGCCATCCTTCTCCTGTATCTCGTGGAAGTCTCACAGACCAGAAATATACTGTCCTATAACCTTACTATTCTCACCCGTGCATAAGGATACAGAATTGGCTCCTGTGGGAGATTATGCAAGATGTCTGCCTTCATCAGGATCTTTAGTCTTATGCAAAATTAGTTTGTGTATCATGTGAGAGCATTCCAATGACAGAAATTCAAAGTTTGCAAGCCATAAAGGCTTACTAATGATTTTGATTGCTTTAAAAAAAAAAAAGCTTTACTTAAAGTGGCTTTGTCCCAGCAATATCACTTTTGAGTATTTTATTAACATAATATTTCTATGAAATACTTACGTTGACTTCTTTGAAATTCCATCACAATCAAAAGATATTATAAGACAAAGTAGGGACTACTTTGCCTTATGGTGAACGGTGAGGTTGACATAACTTGACAAAAGTTGGGCTCCCACTGTCAAGTTTTGTTAATTCCCACAGCTGTTGCTAGTATTGAGCTATGGATACTGTGAGAGTACACTAGAATACAGCAGTGATTTGGGTTCCTGGTGGATGATTCACTAGAAGCTAAAGAAGTAAGATGGTGGTACATGCAAAGAGGTTCTTCAGGTGAGTATTTCTCCCCTCAACTTCACCTTCATCCACTGCAAACCAAGTGGGAATGTCACCTGCAAAAACCTGAAAGTGACATAGCCACTTTAAAATCACAAGCCAAACAAAATAAGTAACCGTAGTTTATTGGAGTTGTTCAAATAATAAATTCTCCTGCACTCTAAGCCCCTCTTACACTATAACTAGAAAGTTATCTTCCTCATTATTGGGACAAAATAGTTGTACTCTTTAATAATGTGCACACATTATAAAAATAAATAATTATATACAATTTACAACAATTTTAAGCCCTTGTAATAAAAGTTAACTCTCCCACTAGCTGCAAAATGTTTGTAGAAATATCCTTTTTATGTTTTTAAATTACAATTTCAAACGACAAGGTTGTCTCATGCATCTTTGGACTTTAATTGAGGTGGGAATGTGTCTTCCTACACTACCAGTGCTGGGTGAGTGGTGGCAATATACCCTGGCATCTAGGAGTTAATATAAGAGCAGAATTATGGTTCCATGGAGGAACAAGAGAATTAATTGTCACCCCACTGAGCTCCCTTAGTAACTCTTCCTTTGGAGTCTAGGGCAACAAATAGGATGGTGTTGAGATGAGTTGTTATATTTTAGCACCATTCCTCCTATAGACAGTCAGGAATAAGGCTCCGTCCCTGAACGAAAAGGTAAGAAAGATTAAGGGAATTTAAGGAGTTATTGTTAAATCACTGTTGCTTACAGGATAAGGAGATGAGCTTTGGCTGACCAGCTTTACTGTTTAATAGCTGGGTAAGTTGGGTTATCAAGGTTTCCTTATATTTGCACAGGTGTTATAATAAATATCTCTAACTTTCTGTTATATCCAATTGTTCTAATATCTGTTGGAGATTTATGATGAGAGAGCTTATATCTCAATATGACTTTTGTGTTTTATGTACTCTGACGATATACCATTGTTGTTTTCATCCTAAACTGAAGTTGGATTTAGTTTACACATCACACAGTGTATGTGCATAAACTATGTATTAAGACTGAAATTCTTTATAATCCTTTATTGTAATAAGAGTTTTCGTTTTTGTGTGGAGTATATAAACAGTTTTTTTGGGGTTTTTTTTGCAGGTGGACTCAGTAGTTTTAAACAGAACCATGAAAACCTCTGTGATAATTCCCTCCAATTGCAAGATTGCTCCGATGGAGGGGGGGCTTCCGCTGTATCAATTACACTACCTCAATCTGTCCCGAGCACTCCAGACATCGAAAATGCAGAGCTGACCCCCATTTTACCCTTCCTTTTCCTGGGAAATGAACATGATGCCCAGGACTTAGAAAAAATGCAAAGAATGAACATTGGTTATGTCGTCAACGTAACAACACATCTTCCTCTATATCATTATGAGAAAGGAATCTTTAATTACAAACGTCTACCAGCAACAGATAGCAACAAACAAAATCTCAGGCAGTACTTTGAGGAGGCATTTGAGTTTATTGGTAAGTCACTTATGTTGTGACTCTCTAACTGAATTCAACAATAGTATCAGCAATAGCAAAGGTTATGAGTTTGTTTGATATTTTAATACAGTTGTCAATTAAAACAAACTTTGTCAAATAGTGCATTTATTTCACCAGTCTACCCCACCTGAATAAGTCTATTTAGCTAAATGTTTATAATTAATGGCAGTGTATAATTACCAATATTACCAATGTACCAAATATTTAATATCTATTGATTTAATATTAACAATGTTTAGGTATATGTATGTATGAATCTCAATTCTCTATTTATGTGTTCTGTACTTTGAATTATTTTAATAATTATTCACTTCTAACAGTAACCTTAATTAATACACCTGTTTATTGTCTTGCAAGTTGTGCTTTTTTGTGTTATTTTACCATCTATATTATATGCCCAGAGTATTTATTTAGTCCAACCTCATCATGACCTTACCCAAACTGCAATCCCAATGCATTAGATTAGTGGCCTAATATTCATCTAAAGTCTTTTAGAATGATTTCCTTGTCTTAAATTAGATCGATCATTGTAGCTCGAGAAGGATTAAAATGACACATGGCCCTAGGCAGATTACCAGTTTGCCCCCACTACCCATTGATTCTTCACATAGGGTAGGTTAATGGGGCCAAGCAAATTCATAGTTCACTGTCTGAGACTTCTGGCCTTAGGCTACTGCCTAGGAGCATCATATGGGGCTCCTGTCTAATCCCTGGGCTCTAGTTGGCCGCCTAGGGTCGCCTTGTTGTTAATCCTTCACTGAATATTTTCCTAGTTTGTTGCAAAATTGGAAAGCACTTGAAACTAGTTTTTTTGCCTTCTTTTGGTTCAACAGCAAAAACAGATTTGAGGCTGAATTTGATGAATGCTAGTCTTTTTGTAGCCTATGTAACACTTATCTTAAACTTAGTTTAATCTTGCTACCTTTTTCCAAAATTCCCAGATCTGATTATTGCAAGTCTTTTTTTGCAGTTTATGTAGCTATGTAACACTTAACCTAACCTTTAATCCATGTACCTATTTCCAAAAGTCCCAATACTAATCCAACCTTCCATTTCCATATATAATGTAGTTAGTCTGTTTATACCTTGAGGAGTTTGCCTTGGGCTGGCTTGTCTTATCAATGTAAAACCCACTTTCATTATATGGATTAAAAGCACTATTGATTGATTGGTGACGCTGAGGGTATACTAAATATACTTGGGTACTCTCAGAGTAATCTAACCATAAGTCTATTCAAAATATTTTATCAACATTTTATTTTTATACATTTTTTATTACAAAATATTTCACACATATAAAACATTTAACCGCTCATAAAGAAAGCTAAAGTTATATTATCAGCTGTAAGATTGGAGAAAAAAAAACACTGTTCATAACACTTTGAAAAGCAGTGATTTGCCAGTTTTCCTAACAAAATGGCTTTAGCATTGAAATCTAGCCAAGACTTAATTTAACAAAACCTATACTTTCCATCTCTAGCCTAGAGTTTTCCGGTATTGCCTGTGCTTGCTAGGCATCACCGTTATAGTTAGAATCAGTTCTAGAACTTAGAATCTAACATAAATAGCTGAACTTCCAACTGGAACCAGATGCAGAATTCTAGGTACTAAACCTTCCAGAAAAAGTCTCTCTAACAAAGAACGGTCTATCGTAGGACTTACTGACCCTTGATATTTAGCTTTACCTATGGGTATTAAACCTTCCACCGCTAGTAGAAAAGCCTTGATTGTTCTGTCAGTCAAGTCCATCCTCCGCTTTATAACAAATCTCTCTAAAGACTAATCATCTACAAGGAGAGGACATAGTTACATAGTTACATAGTTACATAGTAGTGACCCTTGAGATTTACTTTCAAGCTTTTCATATAGGGGTTTCATTTAGCCCTGCAACTAACAATTATTCCCATAATGAATTATTTAGTAAATTAATGTTTTAATTAACTAATGATTCAGATATATATTTTTTTTAATCTAAAATATCTAGTCCACTCTTAATTGTATTAATTACATTTCAATATTTATAAAAAATATAAAAAAAACAACAAATTAAAAATGTCCAAAGCGCTAAGGACTATATATCAACAAAGCCTTACACAGTTATCTATTCAGTACATATAATCAGCAATATCAAACAATCAGCTTTGGGCAGACAGATAATAGTGCACGTTCATTCAAATAACAACTCCCATCACTCTAGTAAGTAATCCTAATTCACCTGATTTAAAGGAACTGTGTAGCTTTAGGAATACTAATTGGTAGCTGTTTAGTTCACGGTCCCCCCACCCTTCCTAAGTGGATGAAAAAGTTAGTTAATTTACCTTGTCTCCAGCTCCGCAGAGCTCCCTCCATAGCCAGTCCAGCATCCTTGATGAAAACTGATAATCTCAGCCAATACAGTGCTTTTCCACAGGGAAGCAGTGGGTGGCTGATATTTGACATTGCAGGGTTAAAACAACAGGGACATGACGCTCAGAGCACTTCATTGAGATGGGTGCCTATAGAGTCCTTTTCATATAAACAATCCAAATTATGACTCCTATTATTTCTGGATTGCACAGGTGATCTAATCCACATAAGCTAGGAGCAGTTGTAAACTCTATCCGAAAAATTAATTTATACTGTCCTTCTACAAGTGGCACGTGTAGCTGCTGGTATTCTCTGATCTGCAGATCTCAAAGTCCATCTTAAAATGGAACTGTCAATTTCAGAGGTCTTCGCATATTTTGCATATGGTGTGGATCTGGTGGCCGTGGCGTGCAGGGGAGGTGAGTTTTACTTTCCTCAAGCTGTCCTTCACGGCCGTCACCTTGTTAACACTGCAGGTCCTCTTTGGCTCCTGGCGCTTCAGTGCATAAGAATTCAACACTGAGGTCTTTGGAAGATCCCGCAAGACCGATCCATAGACAGAGCCAGAATCCCACAGCCAGAATCCCTAATTTGTTTTATGGTATTTTTGGATTGCGTTGGAGTGTCAGTGAAATATCTGTGAAATTCCAATGGATTCTTTCATAATTTCAATATTTCATAAAGTTTATACCCTCCATGTAACACTAGAAACTGTATTAAGTGTTCCAACACCTTTATCCATGTAAAACAGCTCATATCATAAACACTCTCTTCTGTATACACATGCCAGGCTAGATATTACAAAATTAAAACAGCACTATGCGTTTGCTGTTTTCTTAGGGCTTTGTCAAAGTGCATTTGTAATAAAAATCTCTCTTTTTCACAATAAAAGTAACACAATGAGTAAACAATTTTCATAACAGATTATCAAACTTTTTTCGATTAGTTTTTTCAGCTAGTTTCATTTGGAAGAAAATAGATATTTTATCTGCTATATTTAATATTTTTTTATATTTTACCAACATCCAAACCACAGACCCATTTGCCAATATGTTCCTCAGTCAGTATTTGCTCATAATCCATTCATGTCCAGTAGCTGCACCATTAAAATAATGTCTGTAAGTCTAGTCTAGATCTAGAACATTTATAGCGTTTAAATGTTAATAAGCAGTGGGTTCTGCTATGTTTTAATTTTTAACCCCTTAAGGACACAACCTCTGGAATAAAAGGGAATCATGACGGAATATTCCCGTCATGTGTCCTTAAGGGGTTAAATGAAGTGGATTGAGAAAAACAAATAGCACAAAAATTTTTTAAAGATTGTTTGAAAAAAAAAAAAGCAACTACACAAAAACTCCCAAATAGATTTAGAAACCTGGCAATATCTCAAATATGTTCTTGTGGCTGAGAATGATCACGATGTCCAATTTTCTAAAAGCTGTTCATTTGGAGCTCTGCTGGGTTTAATTTAGATTATACGTTGTGTATATATTGTTTCTGCTTTTTTTTTTATAACCCATTTTATTTAAGGCAGTATTAGACAAAATTATATAGGGATTTATCCAGCCTGTATTGTAAGGTTTTGAAATACAAGGTCGGGAAAGAAAAGTAATCTCTCACTGCTTCAAATGGCATTATACAAAATGTCAGGTTATGTTTTGTGGGGAGAATGTCTTTTGACCAGCTGCCATAATCGGTCTTGTTATAAAAATTCAGCAGCTAGAACAAGTGTATGAATAGCACTTAAAAGAATTGTAGAATGATTTTTTTTAAATGAGCTTACAAAATGATTATTTTGTTCGTTACAACAGCACAGTGTTACAAGCTGTTACATTGGAAGCTGAAATTGCAATACCCTTTAAGGAGAACAAAAAAAAAATATATATGTATAAAAACCAGTGCTAGTTTTGGTACATGGTGCAATTTTAGATTTTTACTGTGATTTTTTTTCCGTGTGCTTTAAACAAGTGGTTTGCGCTAAAGTGTTACATTGTGTGGAGCTTATAGCAAAGGCAAAAGGTTTCACCTAGGTCTATAGGATAGGTGTCTTGGAAGGGGGAGGATGCTGGGGTATCTAGACGCTAAACGAGTTTTGGTAAGGCAAAACTCAAAGACTCAGAAAAACGTCTCAAAACTCTTAAATGGACACTATAGTCACCCAGACCCCTCAGGTTTTAACCCTTCACATGTAAACATAGCAGTGTTAATCCAACCTCTAGTGGCTGTCTTCCTAAAAGCCACTAGAGGCGATGCTGTATGCGAAAATAGCATCCAGCTTGCAGAACGTCCATAGGAAAGCATTGAGAAATGCTTTCCTATGGACTGTTAGAATGCGCGCGCGGCTCTTGCCGCGCATGCGCATTCCGCTCCACTCGGGAGCTGAAGTCGGTGGGATTGGAGAGTTCACCAACGCCAAGAGAGCCCGGTGCTGGATTAAGGTAAGTGCCTAAAGGGGTTTTAACCCCTTCAGCCCAGCGGGAGGGGGACCCTGAGGGTGAGGGTCCCCCAAGAATTATATAGTGTCAGGAAAACAAGTTTGTTTTCCTGACACTATAGTGATCCTTTAATTGCTGATATATATATATATATTGAATACCCAATTTAAGCTTCTCCTTTGCACATACAGAAGCAGGAAAATAAATTCTGACAAGGAAAATTTTTTGTCTGGTGAGCACAAGGAAAAATAGTATCAGGATGGGGACGACTTACCGAACTAGAACAGAGCATGTCGTAAATTTTACAAGGTGATCCCCTGGTTACAAATGTAGTCTCCTGATATTCCTACTAAATTAGCACTTGGCATGTTATCATTACAATTAATTTACAGTATTTTATTTAATGATAAATTACAGTATTTTTCTCTTCTGTAATTAGACTATATGGTTTTGTTTTTATAGAGGAAGCTCACCAGTGTGGAAAAGCCCTTCTTATTCATTGCCAGGCCGGTGTCTCGCGCTCAGCCACTATTGTGATTGCGTACCTAATGAAGCACACGAGAATGACCATGACTGATGCCTACAAGTTTGTCAAAGGAAAACGACCAATCATTTCTCCCAATCTGAACTTCATGGGGCAGTTATTGGAATTTGAAGAGGACCTAAATAATGGGATTACACCACGGATTCTGACACCAAAGCTAATTGGGGTAGAGACTGTAGTGTAGCAAAAAAAAAATTGTGTATATAAATATTTGGGTGGAAAAAGCAAAAGCTTTCAGCAAATTATTATTTAAATAAAATAATTTAAAAAAAGACTCTAAATTATCCTTTTCTGGATAAAAAAATAAATACCCAGGACAAATGGAACACTGAGGGTAGAGGTTGGATAGATGCAATGAATAGCTTTCTGGTTGAAATAATGGATAATAAAGAGATTCCAGGCTTCCAGTTCTTGAGAAAACATTGATCATCTTGCTTAAATAAAACCTACGATAGGTGGTCTGTGCAGGTTCATAGACTAAGCAAAGTTCTGCTATTGGAAATCCAAATAAAAGCATATGAGTATGGGCCTTAACTGTCAAAGACATTCTCTCAAGACAATGAGATTTTACTTCATATCTGCCATAGAGAATCCATGAAGATGGCAATTAAATTGAACTGTTAAATATGGGTGTGTTCAGTTATATTTTTATATTTTGGGTTGATACGGTTTCATCAACAAGGAACTTGACCATTACTTGCCCTTTGTGGCTTATTGTGCAATAATATTGTTTTGAGTGTGAGATTTGTTAGAGTGAACTGAATGTTCTAAATTAGAGGTGGATGACAGGTATGTCTCAAGCTGTTGTAAAACTATGCCCGTGACTTGCAAGGCATCATGGGAGATGTAGGCCCACAACTTCTGGTTGTTGACACATCATGTCTGCAAACAGCAAGCCCTCTCAATAGATGTAGTTTGCCGAATTGTGGTGGGCACGCCATCATGGACAATATATTTCCCAAACAGCTGGGGAGCTACCTGTTGGCTTCCTCTTTTCTAGAGGATGAAATGTGCAAAAACAGGAGAAGGGTGAAGGAAAAAAAAAATATTATTATTGTTTTCATTTGAAACTGGTTATGGTGCCATAAACCTTGTTAAATATGTATATCAGAATGTAAAAAAAAAAAAATGAGAGGTTTTATTTTAACTAATTTTTGCACAAAAATATAGGCGTGTTCCCATTGTCTGTGTAAATTGTTGTTTTGACTATAAAACTGACAAAAAAGTTATTTTGACAATGCGTATGTTTCTTTTATTTCTGAATATATTTTTTGATACGTTACCCAATGTTGTGTGTTTTCCTTTCAGGGGTATTTTTAACTGGCTTTTACCAAATGTTTATATCTATATTTAAACCACACAGTTCCATGGAAACTTACATTTTAATATTATAGGTGATATTTAGGAGTTTTACAGTCAACTGTAATAATTTAACATCTAGGCAAAATATTGTATTTGGAGATTTTTTCAGTGTGTCTGTTTTGGCTTAAAACATATTTGTTATCCACAAAACAAGTGTATTAAAACGTTATTTAAATGAAGCTCTGCAATTAAAATCACCAACAAATAGAATACAATATTTAATTAGCTGAAGATTAACTCAAAATGGCTGCCAGAGTGATTAAAGAGCCTCTATAAGCACCCATACCACTTCATCTCAATCAAGGTGTTTTTAGTGACATGTCCGTTTTAGCCCTGCAAGTAAAAACATTGCCATTCTGCAGGATTGTAGTGTTTTCATTGCAGGATTTAAATGCCTCTACTGGCTTTGATATATGCAGCTACTAAAGCTATTTCTGTCAGATAGTCTCATAGAGATCATCTGATTAGCACAGCATTGCATTTTGACACGCACATGCATTAGCCTCCCAAAGCTATTCTACAGGAAACATTGGATTGGCAGAAATTGATTTTGTTGATGATCTCAGCCAACCAGGCAGAGCGGTACACATCGGTCAGCTGACGCTCTAAGCCAATCAGCTCCCCAATCATAAAATGATATGTATCTTCTTTAATTAATGGGGAGCTACTGATTGGCTTAAAATGAGTTGACCACTCTAATCTAATCATGGATGCTGTTTGATTGTTTAATGGCCATAACTTAAATTTTGTCATGCCATCTTGGCTTTAGTATGAAGCAATACATATTGCATATATTTTCAGATTAAAAAAATAAAATTTTCACAATCCTCTTGCTATCACAGGTCACTAAGAATATCTGAACCATTAGTTAACAGTGCCATCTACAGGTGCATGTTTTGCAAATGTTTTAATTTTTTTTTTTTTTTTTTTACCAATCTTTGTTTTAAGAATGTCTAGCAAGGGTTATTCAAAAGTGAGAATTGAAGGTTACTTCACAGTGAATTTCAAATTTAAATTCAAAATAAATGAACTGGGAATGTTTTCAGCTTTTACCTCAGCTATTCAAACTTCAGCTTTAAATTTGAAATTCTTTTTAAATTAATTTTGAATTTTCACTTTAGTAAACAACTCAGTAGGTGATACAAACTGCAACTCTGAATGTAAACACAGCGTTATTCACTAAAGTCTGAATTACCCTGTACTAAATGGGCAAAACCATCCAGCTGCACACTATTTATCACTGTATGGATTTGGCCTGAATAGGCCTGAATTGCAAATCAAACGCTACCAAATGGCTGAAATCCACAATCTCCCCCTTGGGCCTCCCCCCCATGGACATGGTGAGTATGCTGGATCTTGTATGTTGTATGGATTGGCCCAAGTAGCACCTTATAATGTATGCATGTTCAGGTGAGTGCAGCCCTCTTGGTTTTATATGTACAAACACATATACTGACACAGAGATACACACAATGACAAATACAAAGGCCCTGACTCAAACTCAGATACATACACCTTAATACACAGATACACTCACTGACACATACATACACCTTGACACACAGATACACACACCTTGACACAGAGATACACACACTGAAACATACACACACTGACACGAACAAACATACTGACACACAGATACACACACACACTGACACATACACACACCTGACACAAAGATACACACACTTTCACATACAAACATACTGACCGATACATACATCATGACACACAGATACACACACTGACATACACCTGGACACATACACATACCTTGACAAACGGATACACGCACTGACACATACACGCATGCTCAGATACACACAGACACACCTTTTTTTGTCAACCATATTTTTATTGAGGCGTATATTAGAATAACATGTTTAAGCATCTGTGTCAATAAAGTATAGACTGTAGTTGGTGATACAATAAGCGTATAGACACGGATATGAGATACAGGTCACATGGCATATAATACAGCATGTCACATATGAGATTATAATGCCTCATTTTAAATTAAATAAGAAGAATAGTTTGTACACAGTGCTAAGCATGACTGTGGTTGAAGAAAAACAGGCTAGTCTTAGGCACTGAGTGGCAGGTTTGCAAGAGAGAGAGCACAAGCAATAAAAAGAGCCCTAGCTCTAGCCAGCAGCTCAGCCGGGTTCCTCTCGCGAGATCTGAGCGTTGTCGCGGCAACGCTCAGATCTCGCGAGAGTGAAATCTAGCCCCGCAGGCTAGAGTTCACTCTCCACTGCACCACCAGGATCCCTGCAACAAGGATCCCCCCTCCCTACATAAGGTAAGAAGGGAGGGGGGATATTAAGTAATCTGCGCCCACTTCCACTGGTCCACCAGGGAAGGCAGCAGCACGGTCCCCCCTCCCTGCAAAAGGTAAGAAGGGAGGGAGGATATTTATTAACTAATCTGCCCCCACCTCCACCCCCACAAATCACCCAAACTTACAGCACACATACAGCACCCACACACATACAGCGACACACACACACAGCACACACACAGCACCCACACACAAACAGCACACACACATCACCTACACACATACAACACCCACACACACACAGCACCCACACACACACAGCACCCCCCACACACACAGCACCCTCCCACACACACACAGTACACTAACAGCACCCTCACACACAGAGCACACAAACAACACCCTCACACACAAACAGCACCCTCACATACAGCACACTAACAGGACCCTAACAAACACACACACACTGCACACTACCAGTACCCTCACACACATCACACAAACAGCACCCTCAGATAAAGCACACAAACAGCACCCTCACACACAAACAGCACCCTCACACACAGTACACTAACAGCACCCTCACATACACCCTCACCCACATAGCACACTAGCAGCACCCTCACACACACATAACACAACCAGCACCCTCACACAGCACACACACAGCAGTGTATGTATGTATGTATGTGTGTGTATATATATATATATGTATATATATATATATATACACATATATATACATACATACATACAAACATGCATTTACACGCGGCGTGTGCTTGTGCTTTAGGGTGCACACCCTAATGCAACAGGCTGCGCACACCTATGTATGAATGTTAAACTAACATGGTTTCCATAAAATTGGAAAATGCAGGATTAGAAAAAAAAAGCAGGTAAGTATTTTGAGGCAATGAATCTTACAAAACTTATACTTATTTACTGAAGTTTGAATTGTCAGGAATGCGCAGCTTGTCCTCTATATTGACATTCACATCATACCTGGGGATGTTTTTCATCTATGCTAACGTTTAGATCAGTGGTTCTCAAACCAGTCCTCATGGCCCACCAAGAGTCCAGGATTTATGTATTTCCCTGTTTTATTCCAATGGAGATACTAACAAAACCTGGACTGTTGGTGGGCCTTGAGGACTGGTTTGAGAACCAATGGGTTAGATGAATCTATACTTTTTTTTAACCTATGTACTATAGTAGTTTTAGTTCCGATTAGTATTACATAGTTTAGTAGATGGTCCCCTAGTGAATAGAGCCTTCTATTTTGGACTAGATCAGGCTTCCCCAAACTCCAGCCCTCCAGATGTTCCTGAACTACAACTCCCATGATTCTATGAATGAAATAGATAGGCTGAGAATCATGGTAGTTGTAGTTCAGCAACATCTAGAGGGCCGGAGTTTGGGGAAGCCTGGACTAGATGGTCACAACTGCTTCCAGGAAACTTCTCTAGTAGCTGTTTGAGCAACAGTCACTAGGGCTGGTTAGGCAGTAGTGTAAATAATGCTCAGCGTGCAGGAACTAGCGCTTAGCCCCAGAACCACTACATTAAGCAGTTAAATACATTTTAATCAAGTTTAAACATGCCTACATTCTCAGGTACATACATCTCCATGTGCCAGCTCTATAACGTAATTTATGAAGAGTTACATAATAATTTACATGCAAAGCATTACAAAACTTTTTATTATATATATTTTTTTCTCCACTTGTTTAGCTTATGATTGGTTATATCTGTCAGAGAATTATTATGGGAGTTGTAGTTGTAGAAACAAGGGGGGTGGGTTGCAGTTTAACGTCCCTGGCTTAAACTGTAATGTCTTAAAAAATTACTTGCATTCCTACACCTTCAGAGCATCTTTCCTAAACATCTGTTCCAGCCTGAAAGTTGATGCATTTTCCTATTCTACATAGAACTCCATGAATATATGTGGAGGGTATTAGATAACTAAACGGATGTTGTTATGCAATGTCCTTCATCATGTCTGATGACAAGCACATATTAATCACACTAATGAGATACCCTTCTGGCATCTCCTGAAGAAAAAATAGTATTTTTAGTCATTTAAACATTACCTTATCTTTTTCATTGTAAGCCATGCTAAAATGTGGCCACTAATTGTGTCCATTAGACGTATATTTGTATTATGCCTTCCTTAGTATTTCTAATATTTTCTATTTGCTTGCATTTAACTTAATTTGATTTATTAATGCTTTATATATTTCAGAAATTATCATTTGTATCATGAGTTTAACCATCACGTTTCTTGATCGCTTAATGAGGGGGTTTTGGTGTCTACAGCCTGTCCCTGCAATATTAGCACTGTAAACACTGACTTTTCAGTGTCAGTGTTCACATTGCTGGCTACTTTAAAAAAAATAAAATAAAGGTGTTAGACACCTAGTGCCACCATAAGCCCTGACAAAGGTGCAACTACACGCACCAAAACGCGCATCGGGTTTCCTATTTTTTATTTCACTTATGGTGGCACTAGGTGTCTAAGACCTTTATTTTATTTTTAAGCTCGGAGATTTTTGGTTGAAGGGGGTATTTTGGGAGGTTGCAGCCTATACTGAATTAGGGACAGCACAGAACATCCTTGAAGGTGTTGGCTTAGGAGGATTTCCCATAGCAGTCATATTTGTATCCTGCTTGGGCCTA